TAATAGTAAATAGGGTCTCCAGCTCTCTACACTCACCATTTTTTAGGATATTGTGACAAACGAGCACACAGCTCACTTGGCGATAAGTGGATGCTGTGGGCCATTCATAAACATCTACATTTATACTCAATTAACAATCAAAATGCAGATGAGTCACAAGTGGGGACTAGGTAGAATGACTCGTTACCAGTAAAAAAAGTTTCCGGTTCTCTAAGCCCGACAAATGGAACACAGCAGCATTAATCTGCTATTTTACGCTGAAGTTCTGTGAGAACGTGGTCCTTCCTCGTTCGAGCCGTATTTTTGTGCCGCAACCATGATATGACTGCAGCATAACGAAAACTTGTCAAAAATGTCACATCAACATTAAATTTTATTGTGTTCGTGTGCGTCGTAACTTAACTAACGGTAACTTGTATGTGATCTCTTTTATGAATGTCCAAATCTCTTACCTGTAACAAAAAAGAAACACATTTTTAGAATGAAATATTCAAAAGAAAAATTAATAAAAAGAGTATTAAAGTTAGTTATAAGGTGACGCTGTTTTGGTAACGGCGTAACTGAACTGTATCATTAAACGTTTTAAATAATATAAATTTTATCAATTAGAGTGGTAAGTGACCGGTGCAGCCATGATCACCCATAGATGCCTTTTCGTCTCTACAATCCAATGCACTTGTTAATTTAATTTTTTTGTTTTTAGTCCCTGTGGTTATTTTGTAACGGATAAACATCTCATTCATTTATTAATTCATTCCTTCATTCTTCAATTTTATACTAGTAAATCTGTACATTTGTCGACGAACAAACCAATTTTCACAGCAGCTTATCATTCGAACACGAGCTTCTGTCTCGCGCAGGCTTCCGCGGAGAAATAATGCGATACAGATAATAGGGCAAGGGGATGGGGGAGGATATGAGTGCAAATTGTTTGGCCACGTAAAGCTATTCAAATATTATTCGTTCTTTTTTGTTGACAATAGACCAAATTAAGCTAAAATTGGTCATTATTTTTTATTTATTTTTAAATAATGATTTATAAATAAATCAGTTTACACAACAAAAGACTCACTCTTCACTTACACTCTTACTCTTAATTTTTTTATATTTTTGGTAGTGGTGTGGTGGCTTTGACTATAAGCTAAAGATACTACACCTTTGCTTGACGTATTACGGCTGACGAAGCCAACAGTTGGTTCGAATGTGTGGTAAGTCGACAACAAATATTGGTCCAACAACTGCTTGTTCGATAATAAAAGGGAAAGGGATGAATTATGTAATACGCACACACGACGGCGTACGGTACAAATGTTTGCATGGCCTACAAATAATTGTTCTCAGTCTGGATGTTTGTTCTTCTGAAATTTATGTATGTAAACTATCTCCAACACTCCTCTCTACACTCCCCGATTTCTCTCGATTATCTTCAAACCTATCCTGGAGAACAAGGTTGGCTATAATTTTAAGTAGTAGAGCCATGCTGCATCTATACTGCGGCTGCAGCACGAATGGGTTGTTTCGACGGGAGAACGACCACGCTTTCACGTCCTTTCCCAGTCAATCCAACCTAGACCTGCAGTTTGGCTGTACCACGTCTTAAATTTAATACTTAAGAGAGGTAATATAAAACTTACGAAAATTTTTGGAAGAATGCCACATGAAATATTAAAATCTCTCAATTAGCAAATATTGACTCAACTATCAAATATATTCCACAGAGTAGTTATTGGTGGTCGTAAAGTATCCACTACCTCATATAGTAGGTATCGTAAGAGCTGACAGAGGAAAACTGTATCAGGAGATGGAGGGCAACATCTTTTTGATAAACACTTCAAATAATAAAAAAAATGTAGTTGCCAATTCGCTTGCCGAGCGTGGCAGCTAGCGCCAAGTCTGCAATGCCACAATGCATGAGGGAGGAGTATGTTCAGCAGTGGACCTTTATAGGATGTAATGGATGGATTGATCTAACGTACTAGGGGCTCAGAAACAATTAAAAGATCTATTAAAAATTTACAACTTGGTAATGCATTTCCGACGTCTCTGTGATAAAGTTGTAAGCCGTCGAGTCAGCGCCGTCGATTTAACGAGAGTCCCCGTCAATCGCGGCAGAGATTTGTCGCCGTCTCGACAGACTTCATCAATCACTGTCCCGCAATCTTAAAAATTGAATGACTTGTCGGTAACTGGCTTCGTTATTTTTTTCTATGCTCTAAAACATATAGACAATTTGTACCGAATGTGAATGAGTGAAATGTGTTACATTTGCGCAATAGGTTTGTACGTGGTAGAGAGCCATGCTGTAGATATAATATATCAGACGCAGCAAAAATGAGTCGGCTCCTCAGAGGCGAGTCCACGTTCTCACAGAATACCAGCGTAAAATAGCAGATTAATTCTGCTGTGTTTCGTATGGTAAGTGTAGAGAAACGGTATAGAGAAACTTTTTACTGAAACCGACGCATTCCATCGTAACCCTCAGTGACAACGCATCTGCATTTTAATTCTAAGTTGAGGATAAATGGAGATGTCTATGGGCCACAGCATCCACTTGCCACCAGGCGGACTGCTTGCTCGTTTGTCTCTGTCCACAAGTCCTCAGGCTCCCAGCCGCTGCTGCAGCTCCTGACGTTCGGTTTGAAGAGTATTAGTAGTCAGTGAACGCAAGTAAACCGCATTCGATTTACGGGATTAAATATTTTTTTCATTTCAACATACAAAATTACAATTTCTATGGTGATAAGAGCTGATATTAACAAAAATGAAATATTTATACGTAAAATATGAGTAATTAAATAATGACGATGTAAAATATACATGTGACGCAGTTGTATGATATTTTATGTTAAATAACAATTAATTATTTCCTTGTGGCCTTCAAAATTAATATAATTTTTTATTTTATTTAGAATAAGGATGACATCAAACGTATTTTACTGCGTTTAATTAATTTATTTTTAATTCCCGACGTTTCGGGTGCTTCACAGCACCCATGATCACGAGAGGTGGACCATGGCTGCTGTAAAGCATCCAAAATAAGTTAATTAAACGCGATAAAATCCATATAAATAGTTTTGTATATCCGTATAAATGTGTTCACGTAAATATAAGAAATGATTAAGAGAATATTTATTTACAATAAACTTAAAAGTTGCAAATAAAAACTCCCTGGTATGAAAAGCGGAGAATCGAAAGCTCCGCATATAGATGACGCTGTGAGCGTCATTAGTGGGCCGTGCTTCCGCCCCCGGCAGGTAGCACCGCTTCCGGTGCGAGCGCGGGGCATTGTGGTGCCTTCCACTTGTGTTTTGTTTGTTTCAATATTTTTTTCATATTGCGAACTAGCGTCGAATACGGACCGTAATACTGAGAAGTTTTTATATAGTGTTTTTTTATATGACGCAAACGAGCATTCGGATCACCTGATTGTAATTGACTACTGCCGCGCTGCCCACAAACATCTGCAACACCAAGGGAGTTTCAGACGCGTTGCCAGCCTTTTGAAAAAGAGTAGGCTCTTTTCTTGAAGGTCTCTAAGTTGTATCGGTACGGAAAAAACGCCAGTGGTAGTCGATTCCCCAAGGAAGTTGTGCGAAACAGAAAATTTAATAGTAGTAAATCACATAGTGGTTGCTCGCTAATTATCCAGATGGTATACCAGTTTTGTGTGTGATTTATTATCAGTGTCATTGAAATAAAAAAAAATTTCTGCAGTCGGACCAAGAAATGAATAATTCAAAGCTGAAGGTAGCCTAAGTTAACTATGACAGTAGGACGTCAAACTGCTCAGTCTACCTTGATCATGGATGCTGCAAAGCTCTCCTTTTTAATCCTGAAAAATCGACGTCCGATTCTATTTAATTCTTTTTAGAATAATGATGAAGAAATAAGCACACAGTCGACCTGATTGTAAGCGAATATTGTTGCCCATAGACATTCACATCTATCTTGAACTAAGAATCAAAACACAGATGAGTCGTCAACCCTGAGGACTAAATTGGAAGTGTCCAGTAAAAAGGGTCTCCGATTCCCTATAGTCACCACACGAAGCACAGCTTAAGTTGCTATTTTATGCTAGTATTCTATGAATATCAATGAAACTAAATTTTGCAAGTTACGATTTTTTTCAAAAACATGTTTAAAATTCATAAATACAAAATCTCAGGGAAGATTAACGACAAATGAAATTGTTCACGCAACTTTAATTGTAGTATGTTACGCTTGGTTAGCACTTATCAAACTTCTTAATAAGTGAATTGATTCTTCGCGGCTATCAACGCGTTACCTAAATAGCGGTTATATAGTGAGCGTCGACACTGGCAGGATATCTTCAGTGGGCAGCGCTCACTGGGTCGCAGACTGAAGCCTGATTTTGGAAACATGTGGCAATTGAAGACTTTATGGGTTTGTTGCCTTCTCGCGGTGACGTCCGCCTCACCAGAGGGTAAGAATATTTCCATTTTTTATTTTGGTTTATAATCTATAAATATAAATAAAACTGAAGTTTCTGTTTGTAATATTAAAATAACAGGCATCTATTATGCTCGGGGGCTATATGTGTACTGTTGAGATATAAATAAACATTATTAAATTTTTGTGTCTGTTTGTTCGAGCTAATCTTCGAAATGGCTGAGCTGATGACGATGAAACTTTACGAATAGATGGATAGCAATGGCAGGTCATTAATATTTCCTATCCAGACGGAGCCTCTGTTAGCTAACGAATGCCTTATAGCATAAAGGACGCCTATTGCACAAACTTTTTATGAACTAAAGCTGTATATCACGTACATAATTACATTTATAAAGATTACTATACCATGTAGTGGGAGTGTAAGAATATTTAATACCCCATATCATCCCGTGGTTGTCGTAAGAGGCGACAGAGAGCTTATGTTCAGTAGTGGCGTCTAATAGGCTGTAAAGTTGGTATAGTTGTAAATATAATGATTAAAAAAAGTAAAAATTGTTTTTAATTTCTTTTTGTTGAAACCCAAAGCAATGGATGATCGACTAGCTGATGCGGAGGTGGCGGCAATGGCGCGTGCTCAATCCCAAATTGTTGGACCCGAAGACTACTTTATGAACAATTTTGGAAATGGTTCGTTTGTCAACCTCTTTATACTTTAAATATTATGTGACTTCAAAATATTATATAGTATTAATGAAAAAAGTCAAAAGTATTAATAGCAGGAAGTCGATGCATGCAGGTAGCTCAGGACCGTGCTTTAAGGCATTTCTTAGAGGAGGCTTATGTTCAGCAGTGAACTTGTGAAGGACTGTAATGATGATGATGATGATGATGATGATTAATGGAACAGAAGCTAACGGTTTATCTGTTAGAAAGTTGTAAATTTTCCTTTTTTTATAGAATAAGGGCGTAAAAATATGGGTGATAAAAATGCCTAATGAAAAAAATATCAAAGTCAGTCCACAATTGATAAAGATTTTGTGTGACTTACACATATCAGGCAGCTAAAAGAGCGTTAGAAAGGCACTACTACCTCGTATCTCGTATCATTCAGCAGTTGTAAAAGCTGCCACAATTTCGGCATAAATTTCCTCTTCCCTAATATAGAATATTATACCTAACTTTGCATCCCCATTGCAGAATACGCGCAATGTACTCGAGAAGGGGACATGTTTTACGTTCGAAAGGAAACTGGCTGTTACATATGCGGTTGTTTTACGTTATTTAACCGCCTGTTCCCTAAATGTGCTCCATGCAACAGCTGTTCTTCAGGTAAGTGTTCATCCTATTTCGTCATAATTATCATTACTTTAGAAATACTATTCCCGTTCCCCATCTACCACCCACATGTTAGAGCCATGCTACAGCTATATTATGGTTGCAACTCTAGTGGGGTCGACTCGACCGGGGAATGATCACGCTCTCACATCATACCAGCCTTAAATAGCAGCTAAACGCTGCTGTTTCGTATGGTGAGTGTTGAGAACCGAAGATCTTTTTTACTGGAAACAAGGTATTTTATTTTAGTTGTAAGTAGTGACAACGCATGAGCGTTGTGAATCATAATAAAAGGTAAATGTAGATGTCTATGGGCCACAGTATCCACTTACCGTCAGGTGGACTGTGTGCTCGTTTGTCACCTTTATTCTATAAAAAAAACAATCATTTCGCCAACATGCAATGGAATGGATATCGCCAACAGAAATGTGAGGAGACCTGTGCTTATAACTGTTATTAATTGAATATAAGCTAGAAATTATCGGTACATTTAATTAGTTGAGTATTACCAAGTTGGTGAAACTATATTCAAATAGCTATTTGATACTTACCAATATTGTTTTTTTTTTTATATATTATTTATTTACAAAGTTGTCAATTAGCAATAATAATATTACGGTCACCAGATGTCGCCAGTTGGGAGTGAGTTATGGACGACACACACGGTCAGTTCAACTAATCATTCCAACTGATCAGTTCAAACTAGGACTGTTGATATTTCTTAAATATTGGATTTTCGAAAATATCAAATTTAAAATATCGGAAAATCCGATATTTAAAAAAACATCAATAGTCCTAGTTTGAACTAATCAGTTGGAGTTATCAGTTGAACTGACCGTGTGTGTAGTCCATTAAACTTATTTTTTACGCAGCTGGTCACATAGTGTCATCATTATCGAACTGTTGCGATTTAACTATAAGTTATTAGGTTTCTATATTGTATATATATAATAGCTTAGTGCAGTGATTTTTAATTTATACACTGCACAAACAATAGAAATACAAGTCAGACCAATTAGAGTTAAATAAGATTATAATATAATTGAAAAATTGGTGAAAAGTTATTGAGCGTGTTCATGTAAAGTAGCAGCGTGTTCTTGTATAGATGGAGGGTGTTCGTGTAGAGATTGTTTATATAAGGGAATTGCCGGAGAGCATACCCAACGGTGGACATATAGGAATATATGGGGGTGGTCGAGTGACTTACTATTATAGCACTGTTGCACAATGTATTGTCCTATATTAAGAACTTATGATAGTAAGGTCTATTATACAAAACGCATTATTATAGAAGGTCTCTATGACGCATAAGCATTATAATAGTAGAGATGTAGGACTTTTTTAATGTTCTACTTTCAGGAACATTCGTATCTTGGTTTATTCATTTCTAATATAAATAATATAAAATAATAACGACCCGCCCCGGCTGCGCATTGGTGATTTCTGGAACTCAGCAACAGCGCCACCTACCGGGCGTAAATGAGAATTTAAACCATCCAGGGAATATGACATTTTATGACATTCAAACACACAAAAATTTAATTAAAGTCGGTGGAGTCCTTTTTAAGTTTTAGCGAGACTAACGGACGTAATTGACTTTTTTTTATAAGAAGTAACTAATATTTCAGAGATAAACAATAATATTTATGACTTAGCGGTCAGCCGCCGTAGAGTCAACATCACCTGAATATGCCTCGTCTAGAGGCGAAACACCTGTTGTATTATCGTCTATGGAGTGTCTTTCCCAGAAAGGTGGTGTTGGGAGTGGTGGTGTTGGGAGTAGTGGTGCTGGGATTGGTGGTGACGGTGATTATTGCATGCAGTTGAGGGGGGGGAGGGGCTTTGCGGGAGGTGCTCTTCAAACTAGGTGGGACACTTCATTTTATTTAATTTAGCGGATGGTTGCGCAAATAACTATTAATATCATTTGTAATAATATTTACACTTTTCTTACAAATTAACTTCTCCCGCTATAAAATCTGTCAAATATTTCACCTAATTTCAAAGTAGCACCGCCTTGGTGGCAGAAAATTTCCTGGAGGCCCTCATTACTCAGTTTTTCTGCTTGAAAATACAAACTGACAAATTCATATAATACTTGACAGCTGTATTCATATAATCTGGGAAAAATCACACAAATATGTCAACGGTCCCGCTGGGTGGGTGACAAGAGGGCAAATAGAAAGAACTCTCCGCACCCCCTTACCCGACTTCACCCCGTCACCTACAAAGATGATTTGTAGATTACAAACTTAGATTCAATCCGTTGGTCTTTTATAAATTTATAGTAACACTAATTCCGGTTCTCTATATTAGAAAACACATTTCTTTTAAGAGTCCATTTGCAAATGAAGTGCATGAGTACACCTTTTTGAAAACAAAATGCAAGTTTAATTAATTATGAATAGTTTAAAGTTTTTTTTTTATTTCAAGTCACACTAAGTTGCTGAATAAAAATAGTTTGTATTATATACCGTTTTTATATGCATCTCGTATGTAATAAAACGGATCGTTACGGAGAACGAAGCGTTTCTTCAATATAGGAATCGGGCATTAATAATTTAGTATCCCAGATATCCTTTTTTAACACGCTTTCATTAGTTTCGCGTGTATCTATCTATCTATGTAACGGAATCTTTTACCGTAATTTTGATGTTGATGACTTGAATATCAAAGATCGATGACAATATTCCAAGGACCACCAGAATTGATGCGTGTTTTTTAAGTTTTCTTAAATTTTAATAATAAAATATTGAAATAAATATGACATTTTAAGAGATTTTTCATAGTAATAGATATTATTGTAAATCTTTGTTCTATAGGGACAGTTGAAATAAAATCGTAATAGAAATCGAATCATATAAAAAAAAAAAAAAAACATAAACACTCACGCCTGTCACCCAGAGGGGTAGGCAGAGACTACAGACTTCCATTTGGCACGATCCTGACACACCTCTCTCGCCTCCTTCACATCCATACACCTCCGCATACATGCTCGTCGGTTAAGGGTACTCCTAATTTGGCCCGTTTTCAATAAATCGCCAATTTGGTCGATAAATTTTCGCCTAGGACGTCCCTTTCCGACTCTGCCATTCACTTCTGCAACATAAATTTTCTTTGTCACTCTTTCCTCATTCATTCTTTCCACATGACCAAACCACCGAAGCATTCCTTTCTTAATCCTGGTCACAACATCATCTTGCAAACCACACTCTTCTCTTATTACACAATTTCTTACCCTGTCATTAAGATTCAGCCCTAACATACTCCTTAACGACCGCATTTCTACTGCGTTCATTCTACACTCGTGCTTCTTCTGCCACACCCAACTTTCACTACCATATGTTAAAGTAGGGACCAACACAGCATTGTGAATTGCCATACGTGCCTTTTTCGACACATTTTGACTCTTCACAATAGAGTGCAGGGCCCCATTTACTCTATTTCCCGCATTCACTCGTCGTTCTATATCCTTATCATATCTCCCATCCCTGCTAAATACGCAGCCCAAATATACAAACTCATCTACTTGCTCGATCAACTCCCCTTCTATTCTTATTTCACAAATCGTTTTACTTTCTTCTCTTTCAAAAACCATAACCTTCGTCTTACTTGCGTTCACTTTCATACCCCTTTCTTTTAATGATCTGTTCATTAATGTAACCATCATTTGCAACTCGGCCGCCGACGACGCAAGTATAACTTGATCATCGGCGTACAAAAGGCATTTGACGGTTAACTCACCCATTCTTAATCCGCATTCTTCAACTTTCAAATTTTGCAAACAACTGTCCATAAATAGGTTGAACAGCCACGGGGAAGCTACACAGCCCTGTCTGACACCTTTATGGATGTCAAACCAGTCCGAGTAGACCCCGTTGATCCTAACACAAGCACTAGAGTCCCTATAAAGGGACTCCAATGCCCGTATCAAGCCAGCGCTCAACCCAAATGAGTTCAGTGTTTGCCATAGCACATCCCTATTCACTCTGTCATAGGCCTTTTCCAAGTCCATGAACGCACAAAAAACCTTTTGGTTTTTGGCCAAAAACTTCTCCGCGATCATGCGCATGGAAAAGACTTGATCTGTACATCCCATTCCCTTTCTAAATCCTGCTTGCACATCCCAAATTTTTCCATCAGTTTCTTTCATGACCCTTTCAATCAGTACCTTAGCATACAGTTTTCCCACAATGCTAAGAAGGCTGATGCCACGGTAGTTTTTACAGTCCTGCTGCGACCCTTTTCCCTTATATACTGGGACTATCACGGCTTTGCACCAGTCTACCGGTACCCGCTTCAGTTCCCAGCATAAATTAAACAAGGTGTGCAGCAGGCCTGCCACCACTTCCTCTCCAGCCCTTAGCATTTCGAGTCATTATATGTTAGTACGTGGTAGAGCCACACGCCGGCTGTTCTGTGCCCACGGTACGAATGGGTCTCTTCGACCGGGGTAGGACCACGCTTTTACAGAGCACCAGTATAAAAAAGAAGCTTATTACTGCTATGTAACATATTAAGAATGTAGATAATCGCAGACCCTTTTTACTTTTAAACGCTCTTTACCTTTTTAAATACGAGACATTCCGTATTAGTCCTCAGGAGTGACCAACCATCTTCATTTCGTGTTTTAATAAAGAATAGGCCACACAATCCACTTACCATTAGGTGAACTGTGTGCGCGTTTGTCACCCCCGTTATAAAAAAAAATTCCTTAGAACGTGTGTGGCGTCGATATTTACATTCCGGTAAGCACAGTTCATTTAAATTATGTATTTTATCAGGAAAATAACTTCTAAAAAGCATAACATTTAAATAAAACTAGTAAATAAAAAAAGTTTTATTTATATCCGAAAAGATATTGCGATTTAAGAGTGAGTCGATACTGTCGATCTCCTACTATCATACTCTCTGCTTGTTCGAGACGGTTTTATAACTTATATTTTTATAATGTAAAAAAATCAAAATGATTTCTTATATTTACGCGAACACTACACTTTGAATAAAACTAGGTAGCTACGACCTGATTGGGATCCATAATTAATAAAATTAAAACTATATCTATGTCGGACCAATCGTAATAACTAAAAGCTGAAGGTACTCCGGGTTAACTTTGTCATCGGGAATCCCGTGACCATGGTTCCTATAAAGCACCCAAAACGTCAGGAATTAATTAAATAAAACGTAAGAAACGTAAACGTAAAAGTAAATAAAATCCGCAGAAGTGGTTTTATTCAATGTTTAGTTATCAAATTAAATATTTTGCATTCAAAATTTACACAATTGAATTAATTATATGACTGCAAGGTAAAATTTGGCTTCCTATAATTATGGAAGAACTTCATTGAAGATAAGTTCATTTAACTATTTAATAATACTTCTTATATTTCCAGCTCCTGACGTGATTATTCCGTTGAGCAATCCTGATCCGGTTCCACTTCCCGAGCCTGTGGAGCTAAACCCGGAACCAACATGTAAGTTTTTTATTTTATAGTTGGATACATAGGAAATAATAATTTTCATTCTATTAATTACAAGAATAATTAATAAATGTCATTTATACTTTTACCGCTTGTTCGAAAAAAAAATGTTTTTATATAGACTAATGGTGAAAAACGAGCGCAAAGTTTACCAGATGGTAAATGAATGCTGTGGCCCATATACATCTATATTTATCCTCAATTAGGGATCAATTTTGCTTCTGCACGTTATCACCCCTGAGGAATGAGATGGAATGCCTCATTTCCAGTAAAAAGGGTCTCTAGTTCTCTACACTTACCATATGAAACACAGCAGCATTAAGCTGCTATTTTACGATGGTACTCTGTGAGAGCGTGGTACTTACCCGATCGAACCGACCCATTCGTGCTAGTGCCATAATATATCTGCAACGCTGCTCTACTAGGCTAGGCCCTAGGCTCTGTTCTAGGAAGAACTAGCAAGAAACTTTGCGAGATTTCTTCAAAATCTGATTGACAATATAATAATGTTGAAAGTAAAAATTTGTACCATTATTAAAAGGTTTATTGGAAACAAATACAATTCTTTGGAAAAAGGTACACTTTTAAGATACAGGGTTGTTACTAGTAAGAAAATATAATAATACTTAATGTTTGGATCGGAGGCGCGCTTGACGGTTTTTCAATTACTTTTATTTTTAATTGTACAAGCAGCGATGCAGGTCTAACCAGACCGAAACCAATGCGAGCTGTTGTCTGTCTGTATCTATTGTGATCGATGTTATAGTTAATTGCTAGGCCCTATATCTTAAATGAATTGAGGGAGCTTCTTAGTTGTGAGGAATTTTACTTCTACTGGACCAAGTACGTAGTTTCCCAGATGCATGTTACATTTGCGCATTAAAGTTCCCCAATCAGTTGGGATGTGCACAAGCACAAACATGATTTAAAAAATATAGTTATAGGTAAGTCTATCAATAATGCACATTATGTTGTAACAAAATATGCATTATTGATAGACTTTTTTTTGCTTAAACTGCGGATTAAGAAAAAATTTTCTAAAAAAAGAAGCCCATCTTCTTCACAGTCTTTGCGAAACTTGACATTTGCTCTGAAATTCGAAAAGTTACAATTTAGTACCCATACTTCCGCGAGACTTCTTTTGCGAAACAGATTTTAATTTAGAATTGAGAGTAATCACTAACTACTTTTTGTCATAAGTCCTTATATGTTACTATTTAGTTTGTCCATGCGGTCGGAGCTTCGTTCTGCAAAACCCGTCGCAGAAAATCACAAAAACTTTCCGATCACATTCATAATCGCATGGCTGTTAGACGGGAAATGAAGCTGCAGTCTTTAGCAGTAGAATCAGAGTGACATAGCCCAGCGAATTAGTAAGCTTAAGTGGCAATGGACCTGCCATAAAGCTCGAAGAACCGACCGCCGATGGGGAGCAAGGTTCACGAGTAGCAGCCTCACAAGGCGATGTTTAGGGCGGCCCTCCATTAAATTGAGTGACGATCTGGTAAGACATGCAAGAAGTCGATGGATGCAAGTGGCCCAGGATCGTGCATTGTGATATTCTTTGAGGGAGACCTATGTTCAGCAGTGGACTTGTGAAGGGCTGTAATTATGAATGATGATAACTATCTAGTTTTAAATAGTAATATAGCTTATTAAATTAACTTAGGGCCCAAAATTATAGCTCTAAACTGATAAAATGTGGGCGTTTTCTAGGCAAGAGTGGATAAGCTTTTGTTACACTAAGACAGTGCGATTTACTATTTATGTCTTTATCCCAAATTTTTACTAACTAACAAATTTCTCTACTTTGAAATAGTATCTAGGTGAGAAAGATTATTTATTTAATTAATAAAATAGAAAGATTATTTAAGTAAAGTTAGTGATAGCAATAAATATGCTAATTATGATCTACATGACTAGGACACCTATGCTCTAAGGCAAAGAAATATATCGCTGAGAAACATTGTTACCGCTAGCGCGGTGAGGTTATTATATAGGCCGTAGATAGCTTATTCCTCCATCCGTTAACGGCCTATTAACGTACTAATAACTATATGGAGATAAAGGAGAATGGTATAATGTCCTTACTTTCAGGTAACCACATCACTTTCACTTATGCGTGTGTTTTATACGTATACAAAACAAGCGACACACTAACTTAGAGTTCACCTGATGGTAAGTGGCAACTGCGGTCCACGGTCACCGAAAATCAAATTCTAACAAAAAAGGCTTCAGGTATATAGTCATTTATGAGGACTGAGAGGGAATTTCATAGCCTGTAATTATACTGACTCTACACTGTGTAGTGGCGAAGTAAAAATATCCACTAGCCCATAGCGTCGTGGGTAGCAGAAGGGAACTGAAAGTGGAAATGGATAACAGTATCTTCCTAATAAAAACTCGAAATAATTAAAAAAATGCGAAACTATAGCAAAATCTCCCCATGAGGCAAACTATGGGGGAGGCCCATGTTCAGCAGTGGACTTCTTGTAGGCTGTGATGATAATGATGATGAAATGCGCCCCTGGTTTACGTAAACAGAACTGTGTCTTTAAACGACCTTAAAAAAGGAGGTGCTCGCAATGAGGTTTAATAATCTTACGGTCACCAGATAGCTAGTTGACACTGAGGTAAATTTTATTGTTACACAATTTCATTTAATTGAGAAGTTAGTTTTAAATAAATATTTATCAGTTTCTAGACTGTTATATTAATACACAAAATCATGCCTCAGTTGTTCTTAAATTTTTGCACATTTCTAATTCTTTATTTTAATTTTTCTATTATTATGAATATATGTGGTTTGGTTTATTTATTTTTAATCTTGTTAATATAAAATATAACTAACGGTTCAAAAAAAAAAAAAGATTATCCTTTACTATTTTCGAGTAAATTATCTTCGTCACTATGAAATCCGTCAAAAATGTTAATGTTACACCTTATTTAAAGTGGCTCCGCCTGGTGGCAAAAAAATTCAACTGTATGTATGTTACGCAATATCTTCGTAACTGAAGGCGATAATCTTACGCTCACCAGATGTCGCTGGTTGGAACAAATGCGAACTTGTTTTGTCGCGCAAATTATGTCATCACCATTGAAAAGTTGCGGTTCAATAAGATTTTGGATTTCTAGTGTAATCGTATGTTAATTAAACACAAAACATTTTTTACGTATTTTATTAACTTTTTTTATTTATTTACTTTTTCATAAAAATGGATGAACTAAAAAGTAAATAAATAAAATAATTTTAATATTATAACTAATATTTCTGAAAGAAATTTCGTCTCTACACTTTTCTAACAAATTAACTTCTCCTGCCATGAAATCTGTCATATATTTAAATACATTTAAATTTGGACAAAGTAAACAAAATAAAAAAATATAAAATAAGAGAAAAAGTCGAGGATTTAATGATTCTATTTTATAAATTGTTTATTCAGGGGTGGTTTCATATAATTTGAAGAAAAAATCCAACCCTTAAGGGTGAGAAATTGGGTTAGCATAATCAAGGAACGTATCGTTTTTTGAACGGCCTATAGAATTAGGCATAAAAAACACTACTCAAGCTGCCCGTTAGACGTCTAACGAAAACGTAATATTATAGTATCGAGTGTTACGGGTACGTACGGGTGAGAGAACTTCAGGGAACGGACTCTTAAACATATATGTAGTATTATGTGACCAAACAAATCTATAGAAATAATATTTTGAAGTTAGTCTTATAACTTTTTTTAAATGTCAAAAAGCTGTCGAAATCACGGAGCGCTCTAGTTCTTTATTTCTCTAACCGCCATTTCCGATATAAAATATTGAGAGTTCGTTCCTATTAACATAGAAAATATTTGATTATATAAAATTATTTACTTATTTAAGACTTCATACACAAAAATTGTTGAGGTATTCTCTCCCAGCTAATCATTAGGCTAAGCAGAGATAAACATATGCGTGGTTGTGTACATATGTCATACACGTCATATACAAAAATTGTAAATATATTAATACAAAAGTACAAAAATCTACTTAAATATGGAACGATAGAATAATTATTTAGGAAAAAAGCCATCTTAATTATAGTGCTATAATTAAAATAGAGAGGTGACCTTGAAGTATTCTTTGTGTTGACTGAATAGGAAAACTCTGCTTCAAATGTTTTTTCGATCTAAATAATCAATAATTTTTTACGCACTCGTATAATGTAGACGTATACTACATAACATTAAAAATTAACTTTATTTAATCAAATTATGACCGTAGCGGTGTCCAAATGTATTGTTTTATTTCATATTAAACTATACCGTGACAGAAAATATATTAAACTTATAATCTAAGATCCGAACTAACTTCGAATTTCTCATTTTGCTTATCAAATAAGTAGCATTTTTAGATAAAATTGTTTTACAAAAATGATATGTTGTAAAGACAATGTAAACACATATGATAAATTTTTAATAACGTTTTAAAATTAATGAAGTAAATATAACATTATAAATTATTTAAAATTATCATCATATTTTAATGTTAGTTAGCCATGAACATATATTTAGTATTTAAAGATTTTTATAATAATTTTTAGAAAAAAAAAAAATAGTCCCGCTGGGTTTCTTGCTGGTTCTTCCCAGGACAGAGGTTTTTTTGCGAACCAGTGGTAAATTAAAAAAGTAACTTTCAATAAGTATTGTTATAATCTGCATTGAATAAAAAAGTTTCTGTTTCTGTTTCTGTATTTGTATTTCATAACATTTTTAGGAACCATAATAAACAAACTAGGATTTATTACGTTTATAATGTAACTTGCTTGTCATACTAATTATTTTGTAACTATATGAGGTGAGAAGAAAAAAAAATATATATTCCATATTAGACATTCCAACTTCCATATATTTGTTTACATATTGTTTGAAAAAATAAATTACATGTTAACTACATAATTATAAATTTTTTTCAAGCTAAGAGTGAAGCTCCATTTTAATTTTGATCCAAAGAGCATATAATCATGTTCGAATCTTGTACTATAGCATTTTATTACCATAACATAATATAAACTGTCAAAACGAACGATGAAATCTTTGATGATTGTTCGATTAACAGATTTTCGTAGTTTATATGATAGTTCGTATGATATTCGAAAGTTGTAAGTTGTTGTCGAAACACTGCAATATAATCTTACTTGGACAGGCCAACGAATAGCAATCATTACTTGATTATGCTTAGGCTTAAAAACGTAACCTAAACACAATGATTTTTCCGTCCCGTGGACGCAGACTACATACATAAATTGCACAAGGATAAACATCCAGACCCTCAACAATTACTTGTAAGCCATACAAATACTTGTTACGTGCGGGATTCGAACCCGCGGCCCGTAACTCATTTGAATATAGTAACTAGGAATAAGACGATAGTCAAGTTGTGACTTTGAGCTTGTGATATTCCTTTTTTAAATCTAAAGGATCCAAAATTAAACTCTTAATAAAAAGTAGAATATAATAGTGTAGTTTAGAATCAGTTTTATACAATACCGCTGCCCCAGCTTCGCACGCGTGAATCTGGATTCAACAGCGCCACCTACCGGGTACAACTATGCCTATAACCTACGCGGAAGTTTCACCGTAATATGATGAACAGAATGGCAGGGCATAACATACGAACAAACACAAATACATTTTTATATATTAAATAGTTACAGCCTATATACGTCCCACTGCTGGGCACAGGCCTCCTCTCATTTCTGAGAGGGTTTTAGGACAAGGAATTATCCGCAGCGTTGTCCCAATGCGTGTTGGCGAACTTCGTATGTATTCGAAATACTTATTTTTCTTTTTTCAGACATGCAGGTTTCCTCGCGATGTTTTCCTTCACTGCCGAGTATGTGGTAAATAAGCACTTAAAGTTGCAGTTAACAATTTCATTGGTACCGATAGGGATCGAACCCGGGTTCCTCGCGTACTGTGAAATTTACAGCTAGCGTTAGCCATTTGAGGTACCACGGCTCCTTAATATATTAGATTTTTACACAATACTTATTGTAAGTTATTTTTTTATTTATCACTGGTTCAGAAAATTCCTCTGTCTTGGGAAGAACCGGCAAGAAACCCAGCGAGAGTATATTTCTAGAGACATATATAACTTTACAATAATCTTGTACAATTTTTTTTAACAAATTATAACAGAACCAACATGGTAGCGGGCACCTCGTTTTCGAAGTTTTTTCAATAGAATAAGGGTGAAATATGATCATACAGTTTATCTGATGGCAAGTGGATGCTGTGGCCCATAGAAATCTACAGAAGATATCAAAAATCAAAATACGGGTGCTTTTTTACTCCTATAGTCCTAACCCGGTCGAGCCGACCCATTTGTGCTACAACCATAATAGCTACAGCGTGGCTCTACCATGTTTATTACCGGGTTATTTTCATTCATGTATTCAATAATATTATAAAAACCCTTTTTGTACAATTTTTCTTTAATAAGTGTAATCCGACTTTAAACAACTAAAACAGATTAACCAGCCTTAGATACTATGACATATTTTTTTTATAAAATTAATGTGTTAAACTAACTTACAGCCCATCTGGTGGTAAGTGGTGACTGCAGTTCATCACCTGGAGCCACTTCAAACGAAGAAGGCTATGTATGCCTTGTCACCTCTGAGGACTCATGGAATGCCTCACAGCATGTATACCGACTGTCCGTACTGTGACCGGAACGTGAAGTGCATGCGATACTGCTTTTGTGGCAGAAATAGGTACGAGAGTGGTATCTATTCAGACGGATTCCCAGGCAGGGAGGAGTCTTACCACTTAGTAGATACAGTATCTTTGAGGATTATGAAATGCCTCATAAGCAAGATATAATACTGCACTTCCACTTGTCGACAGATATAGATAAGTGATATCGACCCTGAGGGGTTCTCAGGAGAGGAGTACTAGAATCTATTAAAAATAAACTACCCGACAGGTCCACCACCAATAGTCATCCCGGGTCCTCCGCGCCCTTACCCCGTACCAGTACCAGTGCCCGGGAAACGCGTACTAGTACCCGTGCCAGTGCCAGTTCCGTCTCCTCCGGAGAAGATTTATATCCGCGGACCATCTGTGCCGGTGCCTGTGCCGTATGAGAAGAAAGTGCCCGTTCCATATCCAGTTGATCGCCCGTATGCGGTCCCGGCGCCAACACAATATGTCAAAGTTCCGTATGCGGTGCCCGAAATAGTTCCCGGACCCGAGAGGGAAGTCCCAGTACCAGTACCTGTCCCGGTGCCTTCACCTCCCGTTCCCGTTCCGTATCCCGTAAATCATTACATCACTATCCCGGGCAAAGACAGATTAGTTCCAGTGCCTGTACCAACGACAGGTAAGAATAATTCATGTAATATGGTAAACATAACATATATATATATATATATATATATATATATATATATATATATATATATATATATATATATATCTTGTTAAGTTAGTAGTTGTAAACGCGACTACTGATCATGAAATCTCGGATTCAAATCCCGGGGCCAAAAAGATCAGTTATAGAGTCAAGAAATTTCCAATAGCTGTCCAGAGTCCGTCCGTTCCTGTTCTCTCTCTGATCAAGTCAGATTACCGTCCTATTGGACTATGAGAGTGAAGGAATAGAGAGGGCACCCGTGCTTGCGAATGCACTGCACTTGGGCACTATAATCCTGTCCCGCACAGATATCTAGTCTACGTTGAGACTGTCCACCGTGATGGTGGTCTGGAGGACGTCATTATTATTATCCACTTGACTTCATCTCCATCAGCCCCTAAAAATTGAGTGCTGGATGTGAGTTTTTTTCCGTTGTGAGGATTTGCCCTTAGTCATCTATTACGACATCCGTGGGACGAAATGAAATGAAATGAAATGAAAATGAAACGGACTGATAGGTTCTCTTTCGATAACACAATTTTGAAAACTAATTTTGGAGCTGATTTAAATCCTTGTTTAGACTTTATACAGAAAATAAAATAAGTCAAATTAATATGAGGGATATTTTTTACAGAAACAAAATTGTATCCCGTTCCAATAATCATCTATGTTGGTAAGAAAAATGAGTAAATATTATATTTTTAATAACTGTACGCATAATACAAGTACTGTATAATAATAGGTCCTTACATATGAAATTGGCTTTTTGTACGGGAGAAATATAAAGTCAATTTTTTTGTAAAACATATACACATATTATTCAAAGTACGCACCGTTGTTATCTATTCACTTTTGCCATCGCATAGGTAGTTCACTGATCCCCTTAATAAAAAAACCATGGGGGAACATGGTTTGGAGTGCCGCATCGGAGTTGATTTTTTTTCCTTGTAAGTTGTCCGAATTCCGGAAAAATGGTAATCTGTTGGAGCAAGGTCCGGGGAGCACGGTGGATGTCGCAAATATTCTGATTCTAGCTCATCTAACTTAATGGTTGTTTGTTGTAGAGGGTATGGTCTTGCGCTGTCGTGAAGCAGCAGTGGCCTAGAGCGCTTGACCAATCTCGGTTGTTTAGCAGCTAGTTTTTTCTTCATGGTTTGCAGTTGCTGACAATAAATATCTACGGTAATTGTTAGGTCAAATTTTAGAAAGTTGTAGTGAACGACACCAGCGCTAGTCCACCAAACATTCACAAGTAACTTTTTCTGAGTCAATTTTTGTTTAGGGCAGGATTTGGCTGAGTCTCCAGGGTTCAGCCATTGCGACGAGCGCATCTGATTATTGTAAAGTATCCAATTTTCATCACCAAGTAATAATTTGATTTAAAATCCCTTCATTTTTGTGTCGGTTGAGCAAAGTAACACAGCAGTCAACGCGTGTTTGCAAGTTCGATTCACTCAATTCATGAGGTACCCATCGTTCAAGTTTTTATTTTACTTTCCCGATTTGCTTCAAGTAGATTAATACAGCTTTATCACTTACCCCGAAGCTTGCAGCTATCTCTGAAGTGCTTTGTGATCGATTCGCTTCCAAAACAGCCTTTAATTATTCATTTTACACTTTGGTCTCCGGCCGTCCACGGGGTTGGTTCTGAAGGTTAAAATTTCCAGAAAGAAAACGTTGAAACCAAAAACTTACCGTGCTTTCTTTTGTGACACCAGCGCCATACACATCATTAATCCTTTGAGTTGTTTCTGCAGCATTGGTGCAACGGTAGAACTCGTAAATATACCGATATTTCATGTTTTCCATTGTGCAGTAATAAGCGATGCCAAAGAAAAAAAGTGAGGAAAAAACGAATGAATGACTGTTTTCAAAACTCAAGTGTACCAGCTAAATGTATTTATAAATTTGAATTTGGAATTCTTAACCAAAGAGATATTTCAGATCAATGTGGTCAGTACGACAAAAAGCTAATTTCATATGAAAGGACCCAATACAAGTACCCACCATCTCGAAGCGGTCCACTTGCTTTGTATTTCGTAAATGTGTAATTGCGAATTATGCAAACAGTGTTATAAAAAATTCAGATAGATTGAATTATAATATACCGCATCGATGGAGCTCTTGGACTTTATTGGAATATAATAAAATACAATATCCAAGTTAGCAAAGCGTGAAGTACAATGGTTCTAATCTAACCTTACTATCGGAAAAATGACGTATACACCATGCCAATTACGAACACATATAAGTTAATTTCAAGTCAATCGATTATATATCCGTATTAATTTGTAATTATCTTATAATATATCGATTAAAATGTCAAAATTAGTATTGTAAATTCGCAATGAAAACTGGAATTAAGACCACTGATTTAATAAACAATCATTAAACTTTAAAATTGCTTACACATTAAGCGAAGAACCCACCAAGAAGAAATTTTGGAAATTTCAACACCTGAGGGGGTGAAATAGGGTGTTCCAGCTTGTATTCAATAAGCGCACAAATTCTATATAAACAAGAATGTAAATAATGATTTCTTATATTTACGCGAATACTATACATTGATTAAAACTACTTTTACGGATTTTATCGATTCCTACCTAGGATGATTCGTGAGGCTATTGAAATTAAAAAACATCCTAATTTCAATAGAGAAGGAGGCCGGGTACTACCACCTGGTTGGGACCCTATACTTCATCATCATCATCATCACAGCCCTTCACAAGTCCACTGCTGAACATAGGCCTCCCCCAAGTAATGCCACAAAGCACGGTCCTGAGCCACCTGCATCCATCGACTTCCTGCATATCTTACCAGGTCGTCACTCCATCTAGTGGGGGTCGCCCTACACTACGCCTACCGGTACGAGGCTGCCACTCGAGAACCTTTCTTCCCCATCGGTTATCGGTTCTTCGAGCTATATGGCCGGCCCATTGCCACTTCAGCTTACTAATCCGTTGGGCTATGTCGGTCAATCTGGTTTTACTGCGGATATCCTCATTTCTGAGTCTATCACGCAGAGAAACTCCGAGCATAGCCCTCTCCATAGCTCGCTGAGCGACCTTGAGCGTCCTCATACGGCCAGCAGTGAAGGACCACGTCTCTGATCCGTAAGTCATCACTGGCAACACGCACTGGTTGTACACTTTAGTTTTCAGAGATTGAGGTATACCTGACGAGAAGATATGTCGTAATTTCCCGAACGCTGCCCAGCCGAGTTGAATCCGTCGATTGACCTCTCGGTCGAAGTTGGACTTACCTAGTCGGACTATTTGTCCCAGGTAAACGTACTCGTCAACAACTTCGAGCATAGTGCTCCCAACAACTACCGGCATAGGTGTGACATGGACATTAAACATAATCTTTGTTTTGTCCATGTTCATCTTAAGACCTATCCGTTGGGAGGCACTATTGAGGTCATTGAGCATAGTGCTTAAGTCCTCCAGCGATTCTGCCATAAGGACTATATCGTCGGCAAATCGAAGGTGAGTGATGTACTCGCCATTGATGTTAATACCGTATCCTTTCCAGTCCAGTAGCTTGAAAACGTCTTCCAAAGCAGCGGTGAAGAGTTTCGGGGATATAACGTCACCCTGTCTTACACCTCTCTGCAGTTGGATAGGTTTCGAGCTCTGGTTCTGTACTCGGATAGCCATCGTAGCCCTACTGTACAAACACTTCAGCACTTCAATATACCGACAGTCAACTTGGCACCGCTGAAGGGACTGCAGCACCGCCCAAATTTCGACGGAATCAAAGGCTTTCTCATAGTCCACATACGCCAGGCAAAGTGGCAAATTGTACTCTTCAGTCTTCTGTACAATCTGCCGCAGGGTATGTATGTGGTCTATGGTACTGAAGCCTTTTCGGAAACCGGCTTGTTCGGGAGGCTGGAAGTCGTCGAGTCTGCGTGCGAGACGATTCGTAATGACTCTCGAAAACAGCACGTAGACGCGGCTCAGAAGGGAAATCGGTCTGTAGTTCTTCAAGAGAGCGTTGTCGCCTTTCTTAAAGAACAAGACCACCGCACTTCTGCTCCACGCCTCTGGAGTAGTGCCACGACCCTATACTTAACAAAATTAAAACTAAACCTAAGCATACCACTGCAAGACTTCAAAACACAGTTAGTTCATTCTGCGTAGATCGGACCAAAGACAATAAATAAAAAACTGAAGGTACTCCGTGTTAACTTTGACATCGGGATGTTAGTCACCTTAGTCCCCCGTGACCAAGGGTGTTGGAAAGCACCAGAAATCAAAGCAAAAAAAAAAAGAAAAAAGCGGGTATTAAAAATAAAAAAATAAAACGCGGTAAAATCCGTAAAAGTAGTTTTAATCAAAGAATGTAAATGTTCGTTTATTCAAATCTTTATATCCAGAAAAGATTTTTTAGATTTTCACAGATAGCTTTGAAATTTTGAAACAACATTGCATTCTGATACGGGCAATGCTTGGTCAGGTACAACTATAAATAAATAATGATGAACATACAAAATGCCTAGTTAATTGTTAATTATCCTCTTGGAATTTTAGTTCCTAAAATTGTTGACGGATTTTCCCATTTTGTGCAGCACCAATGTGTAGAGGACAAATGCCTTTAGCACCTTTCCGTATTCCTGGAGATGATTGCCATGTCCACGTGTGTAAGATCAAATTCAACTACGTCTACATCGAAAGCTCTGTTGATCCCATGTGCAGTAAGTATAAAATTAACTCATCTTTTTCTTCTGCTACTGCTAGTTGTACACGTTTAGTTAGTGGATTAGCTGTCGATGTAATAGAAGTCTCGCACCTTTGACGCTGCAATCCATTGAGAGTCTGGATATTTTTCTTTTTCGGTTATGAGATCTTTCTTTACTTGATATAGTTGATTATTACGGCACACGGAACGAAATGTTGCGATATGTTCTACACCGCTACCACCTTCGATATTTTATTAAAGTAATTGCCAACTAAATATTTAATAGTCAACTAGAATCAGGGATTCAAATATGAATAATACATAATATTTTATAAGGCTCACCGAACCCTACTCAACCATCACTATTAAATGTCTCGCGTATGTATTGTTTTTCTAGTTAAACTATGTAAATATAATGGATTGAAAGTAAAAATAACGAAGTACGTTTCATTTCAGCTTGGGAAAGCACAGGTACAAATGCACTTGCAAGTGCAAACACCAATGCGAATACAATGGGATGGGGTGGTAATGCTGCAGCTAATGCTAACACCGCTGCCCTTAATGATATCTTATTTCCAAATACCCAGGCAAATGCTGCTGCGAATACAGCAGGAACAGGAATATCCGAAGCTCAAGCTAACGCGGCTACAAATGCGGCAAATTACGGAATATTCGGAGGCATAGGCATTTCACAAGCGCAAGCCGATGCAACAGCTAATGTCGCAACTGGAGGACACAGTGGGCTTGGTGGCTGGTCTAGCGCCGATACTAATGCTGCAGTCAACGCTGCAATCGGACAATTTGGTGGGCTCAGTGGTTGGCCTAGAGCTGATGCTAATGCTGCAACCAACATGGCGACCGGAGGTTACGGTGGGCTTGGTGCCTGGTCTAATGCAGATGCAAATGCTCGCAGTGCACAGGAGGACGGGGCGGGGGATAAAAGCTAATGTCGCAAACGGAGGATACGGTGGGCTTGGTGGCTGGTATAATGCAGATACAAATGCTGCGGCTAATGTAGCAACTGGTGGTTACGGAGGTTTTGGCGGCCTTGGAGAATGGTCAAGCGGGGAACCTCAGGCCCAATCACAAGCTCAACCTAATAATTCAGGTGGTTATGGAAGTGAATCCCAAGCTCAATCACATACTCTAGCGCAGACTCAAAGTCAGCTTGGGGGATGGCCAGGTTTTAGCGGATCTCAATTACAATCACAAGCGCTACTCCATACACTCTCGCCAGGTTATAAAAGCGGTGAAGAAAGTAGAAAGAAAAGAGATCTTAGACATATTATGGACTCACAAGTTGGCATTAAAACAGTTTAACCAGTATCAGCTAATAATTAATTCACTTAGTTAATAATAATATGATTATTCATATCTCATAAAATTTGAAGTAAATTATTGAAATAATGCATATTTCGTTGCAGACAATAACCTCCTCCACCTGATCTCTAAAGGCAATGGCAAACTTTTTGGACTTGATACTCTTTAGATAAGTAAAGCATAGGATTCTGACAAATGTAAATGCTTCATATTTATTAAAATAAAATAAAGTTAGTGGGATATAAGATTTATGCGTATTTATTTACAATTCAAATAGACTTAATTTGAAATAGATCATCAAAATAGTTATTTACTCTTCTTATAACAATTTTAAGCCAATGCTTAACACTTATCCAACCTGATGGAAGGCTGGTGATGCAGCCCAAGATGATAAATCAAATAGCAACAAACAAGTTGATTTAGCTTAAAATATAGGCTATTGACTCTTGCTTGCTGTGAAGACACCCAAATTGTTATCGGATGTAAAGACTGATGCTGGCAACTTATGGCAGAGACAGACTGGTCTCACGTACGCAACGTATGCGATGCAATGCTCCTACGTTGGTGTACACACTTGAGCTATGCAATGTACGTTTGACGTCAGACACTCTTGTCACTTCTTAGCGGACGTACGAGCAGAAATGTATACAATTTTTTTCTGATTTTAAAAGCAAGTTTGAGAGAGTTTTACTTAGTCTGATGTTCAAAAACGAATATTTTCACACCTTTATAAAAAAAAACGTTAAGGTAGTAATTCTGTCAAAATGTATGATTTAAAATGCAAACATACAATGTGTTATTTCTGCAATATATAAAATCATGTTTCGTATCTTAACGGAACTAGGATAGAAATACAAAAACTACTTTTTTAATTTCGCACCTCTCCTTTTCACGCTTCTTTTTATTTATTTTTTATGTCGTTTAAAACGTTACTTCTACACTAATATGTTATCTAGATCGCTTACATACATAAATTTCACAAAGACTTCATCACATACACACAGATATCTGTCCAGACCTGTAATAATTATTTGTAGGCCAGATAAATAGTTGTTCCGCGTGTTATCCGAACCCGCAGCCACGGAGCCGCCAACAATCATAATAACAAAAATGATAGCAGGAGGATAGGGGGATAGGTACTTAATAGGTTTCCATGTAGTTTTGCCATTTTGAATACCGTAACTAAGCGTCGCAATATTCTACTCATTTAATGTTATAAGTACATTAGTATCGCTGTGACGTATCGTATCGTATCCTTAGTCTATCGATGAGCTGTTCGTCTCCCATTTCTACAACAAAAAATTTTTACGTAGTAGACCCGCGATGAAGCTATATTATGGATGTAGTACATGAATGAGTCAACTCAACCGGGGTAGGACTACGCTCTCACAGAATAACAGCGTAGAATAGCAGCTTAATGCTGTTGTGTTTTATACGTGGTAGAGTCATGCTGCAGTTATATTAGTAGTATAGTTGTAGCATGAATGGGTCGGCTCGACCGCTGAAGCACCACGCTCTCACAGAATACCAGCGTAAAATAGTAGCTTAATGGTGCTGTCTTTCGTATGGTGAGTGTAGAGAACAGGAGACCCATTTTACTGGAAACGAGCCATTCCATATTAGTCCTCACGGGTGACAACGCATCTGCATTTTGATTGATAACTGAGGATAGATACAGATGTCTATTGGCCACAGCAACCACTTACCATCAGGTGAACTGTGTGCTCGTGTGTCACCCCATCCTATAAAAAAAAGTGTTTCGTTGTGTTGAGTACAAAGAACCGGAGATCCTTTTTACTGGAAACGAGACATTCCATTTTAGTATTCTAGGGCGACAGCTCATTTGCATTTTGATTCTTAAGAAATAATAAATATTTATGCCTATGGACCACAGTGGTGGACTGTGTATGTCATCAGGGGGATGTTCGTACGCGTGGGATTTCGTAGGAATATCCCCTCCACCTTCCCACGCCAAACTAGACATCGCAGATCGACGTTGAGTTGGACGTTGCGTTGCGTGTGATTGAGTTACATACAATAGGCGTGTTTCTAGTATATACATTTATCATACAATGTCAAGAGTCTAGATGTCATAACGCGTTGCATACGTTGCGTACGTAGGACCAGCCTTTACCTTTACTTCACTCCTTTGTTGCATGCATGAGAAACAATAAAGCTAACCATTTGTTTCGAATGCGTGCTGAGTCAACAATAAAGGGGTCGAGACTAACCGAGCGTCTGATTGTCCGATAATGGAAGGTAGAGGGAGAAATCAATTTATGCAATAAATAAAACTCTTTAAAGGATATTATTGAAATCATATTGAATATGTTAGGAGTATGATGGGACTAAATCTTAAAGACAGGGTGAGAAATTTTGTGATAAGAGGAAAGTGTGGTTTGCAAGATGATGTTGTGACTAGAATTAACAAAAGGAATGCTTTGACAGTTTGGTCATGTAGAAAGAATGAACGAGGAAAGAGTGATAAAGCGAATTTATGTTGCAGAAGTGAACGACAGAGTCGGCAAGGGACGCTCTAGATGGAAGTTCATCACTTGGCGATATATTGGAGATGGGCAAGATTAAGAGTACCATCAACTGACGAGCATGTATGCGTAGGTATGTGGTAAAGGAGGCGAAAGAGGTGTGTCATGATCGTGTTAAATGGAAGTCCGAAGTCTCTGCCTACCCCTCTGGGCCAGGCGTGAGTCTTTAAGTCTTATGTTTATGTTAATTAAATCAGTATTTACTTACAAAAATCTAACATTAGTTCTATAGAAAACTATTCTGATGGAACTAATTAACTGCAAGCGCTGCGAATCGTGTACGAATCAAAATGTTTGTATATCATGTGTTACCAATAAATCAAATTGACCTATGATTTTCACGGAGGGTTAAACAATATTCACGTATAAAAAGCCAGCGCGAAATAGAATTTTTGCAGTTGAGAAAAGGTTTGGTTGGAGTCAACTGGTAGCGTTTTAGGAAAAAGTTAAAAATATTCTAAAAAAGATGCAGGGGGGTGCAGTTAGAAGCGTCTGCCTTCTTGCCTGCCTGTTATCTTCAGGAGTCACTGGTAAGAATTTATTACACTCACAAGATCTCAAACATGAGAGCTTTGATTTGTGTTTAACTTTGATGTAATGCACTTCCTTGCTCTGGCAAAAATTTTTTTAATACAAGAAAATTTTCAAAATGGTTATAAAATTGTTTTTTTTTTTTTAACTAAACATTCGTCTATTACCGTCGTTTATTACCGTCCAGTTTATAAAAGTCCGCTGCTCAACATGGATTGTTTCATAGTTGCCACGTGTACACGCTCAACAGGGCTTGCGTGTTGGCGGCTGCAGTTTTTTATTATTTCGAGTAACTATCAGGAAGCTGCTGCTGTTCATATCCGGTTTCATATTCCTCTCGCGCCTTTTTTGACACCAACGGGAAGATATTGGGTAGTGAAATCTCTTTCTTCGTAAATTTACATAATTATTTAATGAAACATTTTCGATTTTATAATTTTTTGTAATAACCTGTTGTCAACCACTGGGACACTGAAACACATAAAACGTGTAAGCATAAAAGCAAGAAGCACAAGACAGTAGTGCATCGTTCATAATCGAGATAATTTTTATTTACTCCCCAAGAAAATAAATGATAAACTTATTAAAATATCACCACGTAGAAATTTTTTATGTGTTTTTACGTGGGTACATGTAGTTTGATTCAACTCTGAATATAATTTTTAATCTTACATGCGAAAAGGGGAGATGGGAGCTAGCGCCTGTGGTTTGCGAGAATTGCATTACTTGAAAATTATCACAAATTTGTTATTTATATCTTATGAACAGTTTCAATATGTTTTAAAATCTATTAATAGAAAATTTTCAACGTTTATTTAAAAAAAATTAACCACCTAAATTTATCCAATGAATTCCAGGGTACGGGTATGGTCCAATATATTCCCCACTAAGATATGGATCAAGTCAAGCAAACGCCGAAGCGCAAGCTTTGGCAAATTCAGGAGTAAATTCTTATTTACCGGGACTGTATGGAAAACGGCCAGTATACCCCTTTTTGGGGTATGGTTCCGCAGCAGCAGAAGCCCAGGCTCAGGCACTAGCAAATGCCGGCTCTAGGCGGTTTGGAGGTTATCCAAATGTTGGATCAAACGCACAAGCTGAAGCAGAAGCTATAGCCCAAGCTAATGGTGTGGGTAATGGTTGGAGTTCTGCTGAAGCTAATGCTTTAGCTCAATCACTTGGGGCGGGTCTTGGGCAGGCACAATCCCTGGCGCAGGCACAAGCGATGTCAAGCCCAACACAGACAATATCTCAAGCACGAGGAGAAGGATCAGCAACAGCCATTTCAAATGGTCAAGGTGTTTCAAGTAAGTTCATAGCCTGTTTTTTTAGTCAAATAAATTAAATATAATAATTTTCATTTTTGTATTTCACCATCATACGCCTGCAATAGGTCATATTTAAATGTAGGTTTTACCAAGTATTAGATATTGTATTGGTTTTTATAATTGTGGCTATATTTGTACTTTGATAAAAATAATTATCTGCTATAATTAGGTAATCGTTCACGATACAGATGATTTAAAGTGGTAGAGCCACGGCAGCTTTATTATTATGGCTGCAGCACGAATGGCTTGGCTCGATCGGGGAAGGAACACGTTCTAACATAATACTAGAGTAGAATGGCAGGTTAATGCTGCTTTTTTGGTATGGTGTGGGTAAAGAGCCTAACACCCTTTTTACTCGTTACATAGGCATCTTCTTTTATTTCTCAGGGAAGACAACGTGTCGTTGTTTTGATTCTTAATCATGGATCGATGTAGATGTCTATGGGTCCGACATCCACTTACTATCAGGTGGACTGCGTGCTCGTTTGTCTCACTTATTCTATAAAGAAAATGTACTATGTATGATGTATGTTACTCTACGGTGTAAGATACAATTTTTAGCTATCAAAAAGGAAACATTATAATTTTTCCAACTATTTTTTTTTCTATTCTCCGCAGAAGCGCAAGCTGTGTCAAATTCAGGAGCAAATTCCCATTTACCGGGACTTTATGGATCACGGCTACACCCTGGCTATGGCTCCTCAATAGCACAAGCTGAGGCCGAGGCTAATGCATATTCAAATGTTGGCAGCGGCTCTCCATGGTACAATAATCCCAGTTTAGCATCAAGTAATGCTCAGGCCAAGGCTTTAGCGAATGCTATTGGAGCTGGACGTAATTTGGGTTATTGGCCAACTAATGTAGGTTATCCAAATGTCGGATCAATTGCACAAGCTGAAGCAGAAGCTTTAGCCCAAACTCAGAATGGTGTAGGTAATGCTTGGAGTTCTGCTGAAGCTAATGCCTTAGCCCATTCTCTTGGGGCGGGTCTTGGACAGGCACAATCACTGGCGCAGGCGCAATCACTAGCGCAGGCACAAACACTAGCAGGGCTATCTCAGTCACTAGCCCAAGCACAAGCTGATGCATCATCAACAGCATTAGGAAACGCTCAAAGTGCTGCAAGTAAGTTCATAGTCTGTAATACTTTTCCTGTAGTGGAATAAATTAAATATAACAACTTTCATTTTTGTAATTCATCATATTCAGTCTGTAATAAATCATTTTTAGACGTAGGTCTTAACAAGTTTCGGATTGTTTTGAATTTTATTTCGGTTTTTATCATTAGCATTTATTCATTATTATCATTAGTTATATTTGTAGTTCGTCAAAAGTAATTATCTGATATAATTACCTAATGATATTTTAATACTGACGATTAGTGTGGTAGTGTCATGCTGCAACCATATTATTATATCTGTAGCACGAAGAACGTATGCCACCCTCGACCAAGACGTGGGTCGTCTTGGTCGAGGGCGGCATACGTTCTTGCAGAATACCAGCGTAAAATGGCAGTTTAATGCTGCTTTGTTTGATATAGTGAGCGTAAAAAACGGGATACCCTTTTTATCTGTTATTTATATATGTTACGGCTAATAGTCGAAGTGCGGTTGCATCTAGTTCTAGACGGCTAATACAAGGTGTAGTCGATTGCGGTAGATGTATCATACATAATTTATAAATTAAATAAATGTCTACGGTTTTAAGGTAGCCCAAGGGCCACCTTACCCGCACCTTAACCTACTGTCATTTGATACATTTTTCCGTATTTTTTACAAATTTAACAGTACACCTAAAATTTAACCTACTGCTGCTGGCCGCACCTAGTTCTAGCCATCTAGAGATCGGTGTAACCACACTTCGGCTCTTAGCCGTAACACATATATATTCTTTTCAATTCCCAGGGGAGACAATGTATCATGATTTAGATTTTTCATCAATAACAGACGTCAGTGTGTCTATGGACAACATCTTCCACTTACCATCAGGTGGACTGTGTGTGCACTTACCATCAGGTGGACTGTGTGTGCACTTATTCTATAAAATAGACGAATTTACGCTACAATTTTAGTTACTTAAAGGGAAAAATCATATTATTTACTTTATTTTTTTCTTCTCTGCAGATGCGCAAGCTCTAGCAAATTCAGTAGCAAATTCCTATTTGCCGGGACTTTACGGACCACGGCTAGTGCCCTGGCACCCCACTTCTGGCTATGGCTCCTCAATAGCACAGGCGAATGCCGAGGCTATTGCGAACTCAAATGTTGGCAGCGGCTCTCCGTGGTATTATAATCCCAGTTTAGCATCAAGTAATGCTCAGGCCAAGGCTTTGGCGAATGCTATCGGGGGTGGTCACAATTTAGGTTATTGGCCAACAAATGTCGGATCAGTCGCACAAGCTGAAGCGGAAGCTTTAGCCCAAGCGCAGAATGGTATAGGTAATGCTTGGAGTTCTGCTGAAGCTAATGCCTTAGCTCAATCTCTTGGGGCGGGTCTCGGACAGGCACAATCACAGGCGCAAGCACGAGCGGACGCATTATCATCAGTATTTGGAATTGGTCAAGGTGTTGGAAGTGAGTACATAATCTGTAATTCTTTTTTTTAGTTACATAAATGAAATATAACAATATTATTTTTATAATTTACCATAAGCAGACGTTTTCAGATTATTTTGGATCAGACAAGTTTAAAATTATTTTGGATTATATTTCGGTTTTTATCATTATAGCTATATATCTGCTATAATAACGTATTTTGATACAGATGATTTAAAGTAGTAGTAACATGCTGCAGCCATATTATTATGCCCGTAGCACTAATGGGTTGGCTCGTCCGGGGCAGCCCACGCTCGCATAGAATATCAGCGTAAATGACACCTTCATGATGCGTTGTACGTTGGTATGGTACGTGTAAAGAACCAAAGACACAAAGTTTTATTGGTGATATAGGCATTCTGCTTTAATTCTCAGTGGTGACAACGCATCTCAGTTAGACTCCTTATCTGGCAACGAGGTTAGCTGTAGATGTCTATGGGCAACATCATCAACTTACCGTGGATGATGGTCATGCTGATAATAGTGGACGGCATGCTCATTTGTCACACATATTTCTACAAACAAGATGGTTACAAAAAATTTTACTCTATAATATTTGGCTCCCAAAAGGGAAAAATGTCAATTTTTTTAAACTTATTCTTTTTCTCTTCTTAAGAGATAGCGTATTAAAACATAAGTATACCTATAATTTTCATAACAAATAATTTTGATTTATAAATTTTGTTTATAATCTTATATTAAATAATACCTTATATTTGTCTATATATCGATATTTATATGTGATAGAACTTCTAATTTGATTTCATATACTTTTTCACATTTAGATGCACAAAGTTCCGCGTTGGCCCATGCCTTGGCAGGTAAATCTTTTAAGTGATGATTTTACTATCATTGGGTTCGTTAAAATGTTGTTCATAGAATAAATATTCGTTTTGATTTCCCTTCACAGATGCTAGGGGCAGGGTGATACCGCAACACGAGTATATAATGCCTCATAGTATGCCAGGTAAAGTAAAGTTGACATTTTAACTAAAAATCCGATAGGTGATAAGGTTCATGGAAATTATTAAAAAAAATTAAATATTACCACTTTTTATGCAAATAATGGTAAACAATGACCTTCCTGGATGTATGTGCTTAAGGTGACCTAAAATATATACATTTTCGATTCAGAAACAAATTATAAAAATGCGATGTACCACTGCGAACCAAGATGGAAGGTCTTACTACTAACTTCCACCCATCCTACGGGGCGACTTAAGAATTCAAGGCATTGAAATATCAATTACCTTCTTTAAAAGCGCAGGTGTTCAGCGTTAGCCATAAATTTTTCAATACGTGAGCAACCCGGGTTTGATCTCCGCCGGTACCAAAGAAATTGTTAAATAAAATTTTTAGCGTGAGAGTTCATATAAAAAAGTATTATGTCATATCAAAGTTTCTTTAATACTGCAGCTATAATTAAGTTGCTGTAAGTAATACAGTCCATTGAAAAGAGATCTGGTGGATTATATATACTCGTATATACGCACTGGAAGCGCGGGAAAATAATTGCTTCATAACCCTTAAACAAATGAGAGGATATACGCCCAGAAGTGGGAAATATAGGCTGTAACTTTTTTATGGTTTACCTTGGCAATACTTTCAATCAATAAGTATATTTTCAGGTGGTGAAAATGTTATAATGTGTACAAGAGAAGGAGAGTTACATAACTTCTGGACCCCTGTCTTTGATTGCCTCGTATGCGCCTGTGTCAACCAGCATGGTTACATAAGACCTGTCTGCGTCAGCTGTTCTGGATGTATGGACCGTGTATCAGTGCCAGTATCAGTGCCTAGAGGTGAGTACAAATAAGTTATTACAAAAGAAGACCTGAAAATAAATTATGGAAAATCCGCGTCAAAAAAATGGAGTGTCTTACATAATTTGAAGAGAACGCGTAGATCTTAGGTATTATAGTTGCATATTGTGAAGTAATTATGTAACCCTGTCTGCTGTCTGTTTAATTCTACCCACAATTCGGATTTCAGTTTGTTCTTTCTACAGTTGCTAAAATAAAATTAAAAAAAATGTTCTTTTTATTATAAATAAGGCTATAAGCTTTTAATATACCATAGGCTAATATAAGGAACGTAGCACAGAATTTGTTAGCTACTTTACATTATATTTACTACATAATATTTAATACTAGAATGCCAGACAGACGTTGTTCTGCCCTTTTCGACGACCCTTTGTCATGTCCCATTAAAAATCCTTAAATTAGCAAAAAAAATTGTGGGTCACTCATGGGCAAAAAAACTATCCTATCTCTCAAGTTGGACCAAACTGCATACGGTGTGCAAATTTGATTAAAATCGGTTAAGTATTTTAGGAGTCCATCGCGGACAAACAACGTGACACGTAATTTAAGATTTACAACTTTTAGATTCAATGTTTTCACTCTCCAATTTTCAGACACAATAGTAAGACAATAGCTATAAACTATAGTAGTACACAGAGCAGCGAATGGGTTAATGTTAACTTTGCTCATTAACTTATTGATTATTAGTGATAAAATAGGTATTAAATAATGTCCAGCGACTGCTCGTGAGTCGCCTTTTGTGGCTCCGACAGAATATCAGCGCAGCGCTGCGGTAACTCTGTTGCTGTAGCAATATGATGAGTCGGTTGCCTTTTTGTTGCTGTATTGATAAAGCAAGTTGCAGCACTAAATAAATATATTTTTTCAGTTGAGTAGAAAGTGTAGGGTTTATTTTGAATATTATACATTGTATGTTTTTTTTTGCTTCTTAATACACTGTCATAGATAAAGTACTTTAAGTAAAGTACAGTAAGCTTAATTACAAATTATCTATACAGATATTTAATGAAAGTTTACTGCTAATGGTACTTGTATAAGTTGCATAAAACAGGTTATCAGCGTTCTGGCTTATTTAGATTGGAATATTTCGCGCTTCCAAAAATACAGCCCTATTAACTAAATTATATTTTCCATAGTATCATGCGATCCAATGCCCACGGAGGAACCTTTCGAAAACCCTGAGAATCCCTGTCAAATTTGCGTTTGCCATTTAATTGTCGACGAATTCGGGCAAACCGATACCAATGTAGTATGCGAGGAAAGTCCAGAGTGTAGTGAGTATTTCTGAAAAGGTTTAACACGTAACTTTGTTTTCACGTGAATAATTCTACGTTACGTAGAAAGTTCTAGTCATCTTTATCTCTATATATAACTCTTCTGTACATGTGTTTGTCACTAAACTCCTCCTTAACGGCTAGATCTACTTTGATGAAATTTTTTGTGTGTGTGAGTTTTGGATTGTTTTAATTTAATCGAATTGGACTTCACTTACACCCCGTAGGTAGCACTCTTGTCGAGATCCAAAAACACCCGTGAGAAGCCGGGTGGATCGCTATTATTTCTGTCATATAGCTAACGATTTAAGATATGTATGATAACAAGTTATAAATACAATATGATTAAATAAGCCCTGCCTTTGCAATGATGTTTACTAATGTTGATTACGTACTATGATATTTTCCTATTTAAATTACTGCACAAAATAATCAAACATTATAAGTACACAAAATGTATATGATGGTGAAATTGGCAGCAATATCCATCAAGTAATTTAAAAATTAAAAATCTGAAGGATCTTGGTTTACTTTATTATAGTGGATTGCCGCAAGGTAACGCCAGATTCTATTGATAAATATTTAAAATTACAGTTGTCTAAATAAAATACAGTAGGCGCGCGAGTTCATGTCCATCCTGAGGAATGCGGTAGTGCTGTGACCTAATCAATTATGGTAATGTCGATAATTACTACCGATTTAGTCAACAGCTGTCAATTTGGTTTATTGTAACTTAAGGTGATTTTGCAAATTATGAAATAAAATAAATGTGATAAGTACTTACTTGTTTATTGCTAATAGAGAAAAATATTTTTTAAAATGCAATTTAATCACTATCAGATGCAAAAACAACCGACAGAGCAGAGTCGGAATCAGTATCTTCGCCGTCGCTGACTTCAATTACGAATTTGTCGATCGTATTTTCCATTAGTCCGTCTTTTTGCCAGTAATGCTCTTCCAAAATTATAACGTGATCATCGAATCCACACCAATCTTTTTCTGTCACCTGGTTTATAGCCATCTCCGTTACTTCTTTCAATCTTGTTAGGGATAAATCTGAGTTAACGTTGTACTCCCTCACAACTCTCTTGACTTTTGCCCATGCTAACTCAATTGGGTTTAAGTCGCACATGTACGGTGGCAATCTTAAAACCTCATGTCCGTGACTACGGATGAGCTGGTCTATTTTAAAACTTTTCTCTTGGGGCGCATGCAATTTTATCAAATCAAAAAGCTCGCCTTTTCTAATGCTTAGTGAAGCCTCTACATTGTTTCTAATAAGCCATTCTAACATAACCGTTTTAGTGCTTGATTTTGTAGGAACTTTATTTTCCTGAACACTGTGATATGGTGCGTTGTCCATAACGACAACGCTGGATGGTGGCAAATTGGGAATGAACATGTCAGTCGCCCATTTCTCAAAGTTCGTACTGTTCATTTGCCCGTGGTAATCGCCTGTAGCAGTACCAGCTTTGAAAAGCAATTTTGCGCTATCCAAAAAACCACGTCTGGATCCGGCGTGAACGAGAATCAGCCTGTTCGTTGAGCTGGTGTCAGTCAGTATCGCGTCTATATAATCGTTTCTCCAACACTTTTTAAATGTGAGGTTATTGTCGATCCAAGTTTCGTCTAAAAAGAAAATATCGCGATTGTTTTCTCTGTATTGACGAATTTTTTGCAAATAATTTGACCGCGCAAATACAACAGCTGGTCTTTCTACCAAAATCCTTCGCTTGTTGTGACATTTTTGCCATTTATAGCCCATTTTCTTTAGAAGTTTTCGTAAACTTGTAGTCCCCCAGGGAAAATTTATTTTTTCCCGGATTGCCGCCAGAAGTTTAGGACAAGTGGGAACGATATTTTTTGTCAAATAAAATTCTTCTATACATCTGTGTATTACACTTCTATCGAAATCATCTACATTTAAATTCCCCATTTTATTACACGATTTCCCTTTTTTAGAAGGCGAATGAAGAGGTCCATTTTTTGCTTCTGTTTGAATTCTAGACAATGTTCTTTTAGTAAGTCCAGTGTAACGGGCCGCTCGATCTAAAGCATTGTTAACGGGAAAAGCGAATTTATTCTCTTTTTTTCTCTTCAACACACATCTGTAGGACATTTCTCGCCATTTCACGTGCTTGCTTATGTATTATAAAAGGTTTTTTCCTACCCGAACTTGCTGGAAGCGAAGTAGTCATGGTTTATTCACGATAAAATAACACAATCTCGACTAATTTTCTGTATCGATAAGCGCGCGTCACAACCGTCAAGGACAACACTCGACTGCAGACAAATGCGGCGAGGTGGTTGAAAGCGGGGCGAGCTGCCCCCGCGCGCCGCCTCTGTCCCCGATGGACATGAACTCGCGCGCGTACTGTAATTAAGTTGTTTCACTTTTAAATTCCGACGCAGAGATAAAATAGTAAGCCGGTAAGTACGCTCCGAACTGAAAAAGTTTAGGAATCCCTGGCCTACACACACTATTGGGGGTCGACATAAATTCAGAAAGCCCTAGCTTGCATTACCCAACGACCATTGATTGCAGCCATGTCAAATCAATTTCCACACACAGTGCCATTTTGCGAGAAACTCCCTAAGAACGTACAATTTCCCCGACCCAACGACGCTTGTTCAATATGCAAATGTGTCGTCGACTACATTTCCTCAGTTACAACAACAAGAGATAATCTGTTATCCAATACCTGAATGCGGTAAGTCTGAACGAGCAACGTCCAATCCTATATCGAAATATTAGACCTACCTAGTAAACAATTTACCTTATATATCCAAAATAAAATTTGCGATAATTCATAGAACGGGGCGTTACTTTGCGGAGTTTCGTAAGGTATACATGTAATTCAAAATTATTTAAAAAGAAATATAAAGTATGGTTAGTTGAACAATAAAAGCTGGAAGTAGGCATTAAGTATTATATAAATTTACAGATATTTCCACAACACATATGAGTATATATTTCAGTATATTCTTTATGTTACTTCACGTCAATGCCAAAATTAGGTTAAGATACTATGTTTTTTTAAAAGCCGGTTGTGGCAGATTACCAGCTGGGCCAAAACTCCACATAACTAAATCACAGGCCAGTTTGTCTCATTACTTTTAGGTTACTTTTGTAACTTTCTAAGTTTAAAAAAATAAAAATAAAGATCTGCATGAGAAATATAACGATATGTATCACTCACAATATGAGTCACTCCTGCAGTTTAAAAAAGAATCATCCAAATCGATTCACAGTTGACGAAGATATCAAATTAAAACATGCAGTCGAATTGTGAATCTGAAATCCGCTCAAAATTAAAAGATCATTTTTTTTCATAGTGCCACATGTCAACCCAATACAAGCCAGCCCACTGCCAGGACCGCGTCCACGTAAGTAGTTTGTATAAGTAACTATACTTAGTATAATGATAGAAGTAGTGAAAATATTACCGCTATGTGGTTTCTATGGCATTTGTGCTGAGTAGGCACCATTTTAGTTCCACAATTACTTTCTGTTATGTTAAATTATATTTGGAACTAAATATATTATATTATTATTATATCGTTAGGTACCGTTAAAGATTATGTGTGTTAAAGACTGTTGGGCTGCTGCCCATCTCCTGATTTTTTTCCCGATTTAAATATGTGATGCCGCAATATTGATAATAAATTTTCGCAATAATTGTATAAAAACCAGTTACTTATAGTGCTGAGAGAGCTAGGTTCATAATACCGCAATCGTATTACATTTAAAGCAATTTCTACAATGAATATAATAGTAAATTTGGATGCAATTTGCATGCGAGACGCTTGCATGTTAAATTTCATTGCGCTCCGAAAGGAAGACTAGAATTATCATTGGAGGGAGAGCTCATGCGATGCCCTGGGTTGGAAATATTACGGCTATTACTGACCGCGACGTCGTTTAACGAACCATTTTAACGGGATATTGTGGAATATTCAGATTGCATAGCTCTAATAACATTATCTAAATATTTATTTGATTACACATAAATTGTGGATATGAAACGGAATTTCTACATTTACTTTTTCATATAGATTTCGATACAAAATGGGATTTTACATACATGCTTACGTACATAAAATTCAAGCTGATATAAAGCGCGTAAAATTAATTGCTAGTAATGTTATTAGAAGTATTATTAATTGTAATGTAAACTTTAAAATTGAACAACTTTGCTGTATACTATCAAGAATTTTGTAAATTAAAATGTACATTGCCGTCTTGTTAGATAGAGCATCACATCTTGAAGCTTTGTAAGCAGTCGCTCTTACATGTTTACTGCTGAACATATGCCCAACCCAAGGATAAAAAAATGAAAAGGATCGTTTTTTGTAATGAAACAGTATATAAAATACTTTGATAAATTAATAAGTTGAACTGGACTATATTTATTTTTAAGCTTTTTGTTCTTAATTTGCAACTGCCAACACTTTTCTTTATTCCATTTCTCCAAGTGTAGACTGGATGCCATACATGCCATAAGGTATTAAGCCAGCCCTTTGTAATTCTTTGAATTACTGATTCTGTGAAGTCTGTAATTTCTACCCATTACTAAATGAGTTTTATTTTCAGATAATTCGTGCCGACCGCATGTACCAAATGTACCCTTCGCTCATCCATGGGATGGGTGCCAGGAGTGCGTCTGTACAGAAGTTTACGCCGCAGGTGTTATCAATATCGAAGTTAACTGCTATACCAGGGCAGAATGCTGTAAGTGTTACGCCTTATATTTTTTTACTAACTATAAGCCTGCTCCTGAGCACAATCCCACCTTGTGGCAAGTGTTGACGAAGTCCTAGACGGTAAAGCTGCCTTAGCGTAACAAAAGCCTATTTACTATTGCCTTGAAGACGCCCGGATTGTATTCACCGAAGCCGGCAAATTATTCCACTCCTTTGCTGTACACATTCCAAAAGACAAAGCAAACTGTTTGGTTCGAATGCGTGGAGTAACAACAAAAGGATGAAGACCACCTGGTTGTCCGGTAGTGAGAAAGAGATGTTTGTTAGTCTTCTAAATATATAATGCGTCATTTTCTTGATAGAATAAGGGTGACAAACTAGCACACAATTCACCTGATGGTACGGATTCTGTGGTCCATAAACATCTACATCTAGTAACTAATATAACAACATAGTGTTTGTATATTTTTATCCTAAGTACACTTCTTATAATTTATGTATGTGAAATTTGATGTTATGATACTACATCAATATAGTTAACTATTGTATTGTGTAACTAAAATTAAAAAAATATATTCATAAATGATTGAATAAAACTACTTTTACAGATTTTAACGCGCTTAATTTCAAAATTCTATAAGTAAAATTAAACGCGATAAAAATAGTTTTATTTAAGAATATTACGAAATGAGAATACAAAAATAGTTTTATTTAAGAATACTACTAAATGAGAATACAAAAATTGTGTTATTTAAGAATATTACTAAATGAGAATACAAAAATAGTTTTATTTAAGAATATTACTAAATAACAATACAAAAATAGTTTTATTTAAGAATATTACTGAATGAGAATACAAAAATAGTTTTATTTAAGAATATTACTAAATGAGAATACAAAAACAGTTTTATTTAAGAATATTACTAAATGAGAATACAAAAATAAATTTTTGTCCGTAAGTCTTGCTAAAACTCAAAAATGGCTCGACTGAATTTTGATAAAAAAAATTGTATGTATTTGAGTAGGCCCGTGAATGCTTGAGAATCACAATTGGACCCCTTCGGAGGAGTTGTTGTTGAGATCCTAAAATCACCCGTGCGAAGCCGAGCCTGATGACTAGTTCACAACAAAGATAAAGTTTTAAAACATATTTCTTCTTGCAGGTTCATTAAATCCACGCTCAGTGCTAGTACCAGGTAATAAAATCCACAATTAATTTTGAAATTATTTTAGCTTATGTATTAAAATTTGAATTAAAGAACATTAACAAAATTTGAATTACACAACAAAGACTAAGGCTGTGATGTCAATATTTTTTTCCTTAAAACAACGACAAATTAAGTTAACATCAAAGAAATTGTAAAAAACATATCAAGGTATACTAAAAGTCAGTTGATATTTGGCTATGAGTTATTAACTATAAAAGAGTCCTAATAAATGACCTATCTATACAAGGTATGAATGGAATAACTATATAAAAATTATGTGAATGCAGTAACTACTGTAAGACAGATTCAAATAAGAGGCTCCTTTGAGGGAAATAATGTCGGACAAGATAATATAGGTGCGCCGTAATAGAGCTGCGGCTAAGGCAGAAACGACACCGCAGAGACAAATAAAATACTTATCTGCCAACCTGAAAACGATATTAAGTTGAACAATGGTATAACGAATGAAGGAAAAATGTAAAAATTAACAACGGGCTGAGTGGCAACATCAAAGTGGACAGATCAGCTATGCAGAATCGCCACAAGTGTCGTTAAAACAAAAACAAACATAAAAAAGCGAACCGGCACCGAAAAGTTTGAATGTCGAGCGGCCGTAAAATGATTTTAAAGCGAATATATGAATGGGGTAGCACAAAACAATTAGTGGGCTATCGATGAAACGAATTTGTATTTTGATTGTTAAGTTTTAATTTTAATTCCATTTTTTCATAAAACTAATGGGACAAAAGTACTTTCCGTTCACCTGATGGTAAGTGGCTACTACAGTGGTACATACAACTGTAGCCAACTTCAGGCAAAAAGGTTAAGTAGACCCTTAGATAATGATATTTGGACTTTAGATTGAAAAAAAAAGAGGAGAACATCTATATATTATGCTAAATAAAATACGTAAAATGTCACAAGGTCATAATCATAAAGTTGATATTTAAAAAAATATTGTCTAAACATACGCTTTGTAGTGACGGCGTAAGAGAATCCAATGCCCCATATAAATTGCTGACTGCCCTGGGTGTCGTAAGTGACAACATCATTCTGATGACAATTCAAAATAATAACAAAGCTATGGTCGCCAATCTACTGCCGATTTTAGAAAAATATACCATAGCAGTGATCCCTATGGTGAAATCTATGGGGGCGACTTTATTTTCAGCAATGGACATTTGATGATTTTTAATGAAATGAATAAACATTGCATTTAAGTTTAATATATTAATTTGAAACCTTTATTCAGGTGCTGTTCCATGGACCACTGGAGGTGCAATTAGCAACGCGGATGCACGTGCTAATGCTCAATCAAATGTACTAAATCCCTTCTCTCCTATTTATGGAGGTTCTCAATCCCTGGCTGAGGCACAGGCAATCGCAAATAGTAATGTGCTTGGGTTGGGATCTCTATCAGGCTTAGCTGAAGCAGAATCAATAGCTAAAGCTAATGCTTTCGGTAATTCTGTAAGTCCATTAGGTATCCACCCGTACTCTAATATTGCAAATGCACAAGCAGAAGCAGTCGCCAATGCGAATTCGGGAATCATGCCCGGCTACGGACTTGGACCTGTTTCCGGATCAAGCGCGTCGGCATTAGCTGAAGCAGAAGCCATAAGCAGAGGAAATTCTGGCGTGAACATGCTACTTAATCCATTATATCCTAATATCCGACCAGTATACCAACCCGGCTACTCAATGGGATCAGCTGAGGCGAGGGCCTTAGCAAATGCTATGTCTGGTAATAATGCAATGGGATCAGCTGAGGCGCAAGCCTTAGCAAATGCTGTTTCTGGCGCTAATCAGATATATCCAAATATTCTAGGTGGATATATGCCCGGTTCATCTGCATCAGCATTAGCAGAAGCAGAAGCTATTGCTAGAGGAAATACCGGATATTACCCAATTTCACCTGTAATGCCGGTAAACTCTAATTTAGCAGAAGCAGTAGCAGAAGCAGCTGCCAATGCAAATTCGGGAATCATGCCCGGCTACGGACTTGGACCTGTTTCCGGATCGAGCGCGTCGGCATTAGCTGAAGCAGAAGCTATAAGCAGAGGAAATTCTGGCGTGAACATGCTACTTAATCCATTATATCCTAATATCCGACCAGTTTACCAACCCGGCTACTCAATGGGATCAGCTGAGGCGCAAGCCTTAGCTAATGCTGTTTCTGGCGCTAATCAGATATATCCAAATATTCTAGGTGGACTTATGCCTGGTTCATCTGCATCAGCATTAGCAGAAGCAGAAGCTATTGCTAGAGGAAATACCGGATATTACCCAATTTCACCTGTAATGCCGGTAAACTCTAATTTGGCAGAAGCAGTAGCAGAAGCAGCCGCCAATGCGAATTCGGGAATCATGCCCGGCTACGGACTTGGACCTATTTCCGGATCGAGCGCGTCGGCATTAGCTGAAGCAGAAGCTATAAGCAGAGGAAATTCTGGCGTAAACATGCTACTTAATCCATTATATCCTAATATCCGACCAGTATACCAACCCGGCTATTCAATGGGATCAGCTGAGGCGAGGGCCTTAGCAAATGCTATGTCTGCCAATAATGCAATGGCATCAGCTGAGGCGCAAGCCTTAGCAAATGCTATTTCCGCCAATAACATGTATCCCAACATTCTAAGTGGATATATGCCCGGTTCATCTGCATCAGCATTAGCAGAAGCAGAAGCTATTGCTAGAGGAAATACCGGATACTACCCTGGAATTATGCGCCACCCAGGATCTTCAGCATCTGCTGAAGCTGAAGCTATTGCCAATTCAAATTCAGGCTTGTATCCTGGAGGCCTAATGCCTTGGTCACCATTATCTCAATCCGCAGCAGAAGCACAAGCGATCGCAAACGCAGTTGGAAATAATTACGGCAGTAAGTTTTTTTTTAATTTTAATGATAGAGCTACTCGCATTTAAAAATTTTAATAAAAAAATGTAATTATGAAACGTAATCCAACCTGTGAAAAGATGGAGTGACGATCTATTAAGACATGGAGAAAGTGGATGGATGCAAATGTTTCAGGACCGTGCTTTGTGGTATTCCTTGGAGTAGATCTACTTAGAGTAGTGGATAATGATTATTATTTGTTTAGTTTACCATTTAGGAAAAGGCATTAAGGAAGAATTTTTTTTTCTTTGTAGATGCGCAAAGCTTAGCTCAAGCCCAAGCCCAAGCTGATGCAATGTCAGGAGGACCTTTAATAAAAGCCGGTAAGTAAACAATTTTACTGGATTAATCATTTAATTTAGTCTTGACTAAGATAACAATGGTTATATTTAAACGGTATAAGAGCCAATAAGTCAATTTATATCCAAATGGCTGTGCTTTTGATACCTTTGAAGTAACAAACAAGTTAACTGTACATCTGATAGCTTATAGAAAGAAGAAAGAAAGAAAGAACTATTTATTTGATACATACGTTTTGCACACAATTCTAGAAATATACAATCACAAAGGGGTAAAAATATGCATGTACTATCTAAGACTGCTTACGCATTAAAATTATTAAGAATCAGTACATGCACATTAGTATTTAATTATGAAACAAAATAAGCTAATTCTATTTCATCATCGACCTTTTATGGAATTCTCAAGGTTGGTTGATGTTATTATATTTTTTCTGTACACAACTGCTCGCATAGAGAAAATATTTCCTAGAGCTAGGACTCCAATCACAAGTATCACTATATTGCCTGGCTTGCGACTGTTTGTTGGATGAAGTTGGGAGCTATGCAATATGATTGGGCCGCCCTTGCGCTTAAGAAGCTAGAAGCTCAACTGATATCTCACAAGATCTTGATTTATTGTATCTGATTTAGAAATTTTCCCTCAGACGATTTCTATTTCACTAATTGTAAATTGCATAAAATCTGAAATATTTTTTATGATATAGTGATTAGAAAAAAATATGTAGAAGTAACGCTTATACTACATATAAAAGTTTTTGTATATTATATTCATAACAATCTCGTTTATATTCCAACGTTCAAGCACATAGGTAAGTGCAATAATTAAAACTACGACGTTTGAAGGAACGTTCAGCAAGGACCTATCATACTTTAAAATTAGGGCTTGGGTGTATTATGCAGGTTTAAGGTATCTACTCACTACGTCGTGTGACGGGTCGTCCACTTCCCTTCAATATGGGCAAAGTATGACGCACGTGTTGAAATATTCCAATAATGTACGTCATGCCTGTGGGAGCTGGTTTGCCCGGTTTCGCTATACGCTGATAAGCTCTTAATTCTTAATCGTACTTTTTTGAGTGCATCATAGAACGTGCTTCAGTTATCGATGGGCCTTTTGTCGTTTTCCACTCTGTGTATACTATGCATCTCCATTGCCATAAAAGCGAACTCCGGAGTTTCTTTCGCTATTTCTTTTCCGGTCAGAGCAACCTCATTTCAAAATAAAACAATCAAACAATTCTGTTAATCATAGTTATTTTGTTACAGCTCATTATGAAGAAGAAGATGGGATTGAAGACCTATTACATTAAAAAAGCGACTAAAACGACACGGCCAGAAACATGAAATTGCAGAAATTATTTTTTTTTTATAAATTTGTGTGAACAGCAAAGACACTGTAGAGGCAGTAATGTATATGAAAAATAAAAAAAATAAGGCACGAAATTTTGTTATTTCTCTTCGTCTTAATATTAATCTCCTTTAAAAGATTTCAAATTATACCTTTAAGATTTCATCCAAAATTAAGCTTATAATTGAATATAATTTCACTAAAATTGAAACTTATTAAAATAACGTTCTACTAAATTGGTGTAAGGCCTCAGGAAACGTTTAAGTGAAGAAGTAATTCCACCCCGAGCAAGTAATCAAATAACTTGATGAGAGCGCCACCACCGCGACATTTATTAATATACTGAATTTGAAACATTAAACTTTTTGATAAATAATTTTTTATGAAAGTTCAATACAATCTATTGCTCTCATAAAAATATTCGAAATATCGACATTTATTAATATACTGAATTTGAAACATTAAACTTTTAGATAAATAATTTTTTATGAAAGTTCAATACAATCTATTGCTCTCATAAAAATATTCGAAATATCGACATTTATTAATATACTGAATTTGAAACATTAAACTTTTTGATAAATAATTTTTTATGAAAGTTCAATACACTCTATTGCTCTCATAAAAATATTCGAAATATCGACATTTATTAATATACTGAATTTGAAACATTAAACTATTTGATAAATAATTTTCTATGAAAGTTCAATACAATCTATTGCTCTCATAAAAATATTCGAAATATCGACATTTATTAATATACTGAATTTGAAACATTAAACTTTTTGATAAATATTTTTTTATGAAAGTTCAATACAATCTATTGCTCTCATAAAAATATTCGAAATATCGACATTTATTAATATACTGAATTTGAAACATTAAACTTTTTGATAAATAATTTTTTATGAAAGTTCAATACAATCTATTGCTCTCATAAAAATATTCGAAATATCGACATTTATTAATATACTGAATTTGAAACATTAAACTTTTTGATAAATATTTTTTTATGAAAGTTCAATACAATCTATTGCTCTCATAATAATATTCGAAACAAATAAACTGTCGAGTGAACTGGTAAGATATGCAAGCATGAGGTCGGTGGATGCAGGTGGCTCTGGACCGTGCTTTACGGCATAACTTGAGGTTTATGTTCAGCAGTGGACTTGTGATGGGCCGTAATGGTGATGGTTATGATATTATCTACCATATGGTTTGATCATCTGTCTGTCTGTATGTCCGTTTGTGTGCTTATTATTAGAGAATCAATATATATTATAATTAAGAATAAATTTTGTGGCTTTAGTAAAATCAGGCTATTTTTAAAAGTCTATTATATGAGATTTGAATGAAATATGGCACATAGATAGAACATTTAATGATTTTTTTTATATTTACGCGAATAATACTCATTGAATGAATCAAATGTAACGTATTTTAACGCGTTTAATCTTAATTTTTAATACCCGACGTTTTGCTATGACATCGGGTCGTCAAACATCTTAGTCACACCGCGTGCTTTAGAGCACCCATGGTAACGCGGTGTGACTGTTTTTAATTAAAAACTTAAAATTAAACGTGATAAAATCCGTAAAATTAGTTTCATTTAAGATAGAACATGTCTTACATTAAGAAAAAAGTAACATGAAGTTATTACTATTACCCTCCACCACTTCGTTGTCGATACTCCACATATTCGAACAAAACGATTTGCATCATTCTTCATCACGCGCATTGCAAAGAAGTTAAATAAGTTGCCAGCACCAGTATTTCAATCTGACTAAAATGTGGTGTTATCAAGGCAAAAGTGAATAGGCTTTTGTTAAGCTAAGTCAGCGCGCTTAACTATCTCCGGAAAGGACACATCTTCGGTGGTTCATGAGGTGATAGGTAGTAAAGTACTAGATTAGAATACATTTAAAGAAACCTGTTGATACGCGGGCGTAGCCGCGCGCGAAAGCTATCTTATTAAATCAAACCCAAAGACCCATTCGCAGCATAAAAGTATAATTTCATTGTAAACTACGGCCGCTATAGCACTATGCCGATAAATATATATATATATATATATATATATATATATATTATGCGCGGAAAAAAGAAAACATAAATTGTCTATTTGAAATTTATTGCAAGAAAATGCCGGCCTAGCGCTCTAACAACATAATAACCGTTAATGTTATATTTCTGAATTTCTTACTCGTGTACTAGCGAAGTGGGCACGGTAGCGTGATGAGAACGCTAAAAATCTTCTAAGGACACATCTTCGGTGGTTCATGAGGTGATAGGTAGTAAAGTACTAGATAAGAATACATTTAAAGAAACCTGTTGATACGCAGGCGTAGCCGCGACCGAAAGCTATCTTATTAAATCAAACCCAAAGACCCATTCGCAGCATAAAAGTATAATTTCATTGTAAACTACGGCCGCTATAGCACTATACCGATATATATATATTATGCGCGGAAAAAAGAAAGCATAAATGTCTATTTGAAATTTATTGCAAGAAAATGCCGGCCTAGCGCTCTAACAACATAATAACCATTAAAGTTATATTGCTGAATTTCTTACTCGTGTACTAGCGAAGTGGGCACGGTAGCGTGATGAGAACGCTAAAAATCTTTCGATGAAATATTACAATGAACAGTGTGCGAGTGGTGCTTTTAGTTGTCGGCTGTAAGTCTGTGCTTTTAATAAAAACTATCTATGCCAAAGCGTTACAATGTTCAATCGAAATGATAAACAAACGCATAGGCGAACAAGGAAAGAAGCATCATTAAAAAATAGGTTCAAAATTGACGAAGCTATCGCGTTACATATATATGGTTAAAAAAAACATACCAATTGTAAACCGTTTATTGAAGTCTTCTCTATTCTCAAAAGAAAAGGAATTCTATAGAATAATCCCGCTTTAACTTTACCAGAGTTAGTACCCCCCCCCCTCCTTTTTATATTGAAATAACGGCTTAGGGGACAAGTTGCGAAAATTTCAGGCGTGATCCCCTGAATTTCACACCGCAGTCGCTACGTATTATGTGCATATTCTTGCGTTCCTGGCTGAGCACGGATTAAAATGCAAATGTATGGGTGAGGTATTGCAGATTCCTGATTTCATTAAGCTATGCATGTTTAGAAAAAAAAGAAGGTATTACGGATTTATAACGACGTCTTTCATTATATAAAAAATTTCATAGCGTCACGCTTTTTATTCACTAAGGGGGTGAGTAGAATCCAAGAGCAGCAAGCTACTTTGACCACGCTTAGCCAAAGAAATGTGGATATAGAAGAAAAAATGTGAAAGATGGGATAAGTGAATATCCATCGTCTACACAATAACAAACCGAATTTACCATTAGTCGCCTTTTACGACATGCTAGGCGAGTTAAATTGTTAGCACGTTCTTTCCAACAAACTATTCACATAAGCATGGTTTTGTTATACTTTCTTTTAGAATACCAGACCAACATGGATAAAATGTTTACTAGATCATGTAAAGATGGAAGTTATTACAATCTCTATCAGTTGATACCACTTACATAAATATAATGCATATAATATAATATTGTTACGCGCTCCAGTCAACGATACACTAGCGCCATCTAGTGTTAGGAACGAGAGCGAGGGGAGCATTGAGAAAACGACATCACAAATTACTCAACCGACAGCGCCTAGTCGAAACTCGAACGCTCGGTACCTTGCCCGTGTTTACTTGAACATTCTGGATATTTCTTTGCTAATTTAAATATATAGGCGCTGCAAGATGCGATGGAGGCAGTGTTGATTTGGGCGAAACAAGCGAAGCTTCGGAGTGGAATTAAGTGAATTAATGTGTTTAAATTATTAGTGTTTTAACTTTAATTGTGTAAAGTAAATTAAAGTGTTAATTTAGGTAATTTTATCGGCAATTTTTATTGTCACGAACCTCAAGCTCGTAACAATTGGTGTCAGAAGTGGGATTAAATCATGCCGATTTTACCTAAGGAGGAAACGGAGGGTGTCCGTACCCGAAGTCAACGCCAGCAGGAGACGGACCAGAGGAGGTTTGGTGGTGCAACGCCGCAGACGTCGGAGGGCCAACAGCTAGCCACGGAGACTGCGGGCCCGTCAGTAGCTCCTACATCTGCAGCACCTGACTTAGGTGCTCTGATGGCCATGCTACAGGAGCAGCTGCAGCGCGGACGAGAGGAACAGGCCCGTCTGTTGAAAGAGCAGCAGGAGGAACAGGCTCGCCAGCAGGCGGAACAGGCCCGTCTGTTGAAAGAGCAGCAGGCGGAACAGGCCCGTCTGTTGAAAGAGCAGCAGGAGGAACAGGCTCGCCAGCAGGCGGAACAGGCACGCCGATTGGAAGAGCAGCTGCGGGACGGACAGGAGGAACAGGCCCGTCGGTTGGAAGAGCAGATGCTCCTCATGAAGGACCTTCACGCTACCTTCGGGAAGGAGATAAAGGAGGTGAAGGATAGGGTTGCTCAGCATGACAACCGCCTGTCGGAAGCCGAAACCCAAATCGTGAAAGCTGAAAACCGAATCGAGAAAGCTGAAACCCGAATCGACCAAGTAAACAATCGGGTTGACAACGTAGTGGCTGACATGAAGAAATCACTAAACGACCTCAAAATTGGGGATGGAACTACAGCTCCCGTAGTAGCTGCAGCACCTTCGCTACGTGGATTCAAAGTGCCGCCGTTCGACGGGACCTCTTCCTGGTCGGCCTACAAAATCCAGTTCGAGGCCGTCATGGAGGCGAACGGCTGGAATAAAAGCCAAGCCATGACTGCACTCACCCTAGGCCTGCGCGACCAAGCCTTAACTGTGTTGGAAGCTCTCGGTAAGAAAGTGACTTATGAGCAACTCCTTGAGGCATTGGAGGCGAGATATGGCGACGCTCACCTGGAACACGTCTTTCGTGCGCAGCTTAAAGATCGTGTGCAGCGCATCAACGAAAACCTGCAGCAGTGGGCTCTAGAGGTGGAGAAGATGGTGCGAAAAGCTTACCGGTCTGTACCTGCGCTCATTAAAGGGAACCTGGTGCAGACATTTATCGACGGCATCCGTGACCTGGAAGTCAGAGCTGCTGTGAGGCTCGGGCACCACGAGACGCTTAAGGACGCCTTGGCCCATGCACTGGAGGTAGAAGCCGTGCGGCAGGATCATCGTTCCCATCGCGTCAGGGAGGTTGCAGCCGCTACAGTTCGCGACCGCAACAAAGGATACAGCCCAAGGTGCTATGGCTGTGGGGAAAAGGGCCATCTTCGAATCAGCTGCCCTAAGCGAACCGTTGAAAGGAGAGTTGATCGATCTCGAGAGGGTAGTGCAGCTAACGACACTGCCTGGCGGCGACAGGATCATCGTTCACCTCACGCTAGGGAGGTTACAGCAGTTACGGTTCGCGACCACAATAAAAGATACAGCCCTAGGTGCTATGGCTGTGGGGAAAGGGGCCATCTTCGGTCCAGCTACCCTGAGCACACCCTACGAAGGGGAGGTGAACGGTCTCAGAAAGGAAGTGCGGCTAACAGCACCGCCCAGCAGCAGCAGGAATACGACTTTACTATCAGACACTGCAGCGGGAAATCTCACGGCAACGCGGATGCATTGTCAAGAAGACCTTGTCCTGAAGATTGCAACCATTGTAGTAGGCAAGAGAGTAAGGAGGTGGTATCCGTGAGGATGCTCAGGACGGACCACCTCAGCAACGAATGGAAGGACAACCTACGACATGCACAGCAGGAAGATCCGGACATCAAGCCGATTCTGGGATGGATGAAGGCCCGTGCTACCAAGCCTAAGTGGAGGGACGTCTCAGCGATGAGTTCAACCACGAAAAGCTATTGGGCCCAATGGGACAGCTTGCTGATTCAGGATGGAGTCCTGTGCCGTAAATGGGACAATGGTCGAAGAGACAGCTGTCGTTTGCAAATGGTTGTCCCTAAAGCTAAAGTGCCGAATGTTCTACAGTTGTGCCATAATGGTCGTTCAATAGTCCATCTGGGAGTTAAACGAACTCTACTGAAGGTCCGAGAACAGTTTTACTGGGTCCATTATCGTGACGATGTCGAGGATTGGTGTCGTACATGTACAAGTTGTGCGACCGAGCGGGGACCTCGGACACGTAGTAGAGGAGCACCGAAATTGTACAACGTTGGTGCACCACGGGATAGGACAGCCCTTGACATTGCGGAGCCGTTACAGAAAGGCGCAAGAGGGACTCCTAAGATCGTCCATGTGAATCGCTTGGCGCGTTATTATGGGGCCGATAATGCTCGGGACGAGCATGTCTTAGGAGGGGGCAGTGTTACGCGCTCCAGTCAACGATACACTAGCGCCATCTAGTGTTAGGAACGAGAGCGAGGGGAGCATTGAGAAAACGACATCACAAATTACTCAACCGACAGCGCCTAGTCGAAACTCGAACGCTCGGTACCTTGCCCGTGTTTACTTGAACATTCTGGATATTTCTTTGCTAATTTAAATATATAGGCGCTGCAAGATGCGATGGAGGCAGTGTTGATTTGGGCGAAACAAGCGAAGCTTCGGAGTGGAATTAAGTGAATTAATGTGTTTAAATTATTAGTGTTTTAACTTTAATTGTGTAAAGTAAATTAAAGTGTTAATTTAGGTAATTTTATCGGCAATTTTTATTGTCACGAACCTCAAGCTCGTAACAATATTGTAAATTAATATTTAAAAAAGTCCCACTGGGTTTCTTGCTGGTTCTCCCCAGGACAGAGGTTTTTTTTGAACCAATGGTGAAGATTAAAAAACTTCTAATAAGGTTAAAAAAGATACAGTCTAGATAGAATAACTTTAGTTAAAAGTTATTCTTGTGATCTATATTGAATACATTTATTCAATTCCGCTCTACACAAGACAAGTTATTAAAACGCCGCTGCAGGGCACAGACCTCCTCCAAAATAAATAACTTGTTTACCAGTATCTCAGTGCCAAGAGCAAGGTCGAACTCCACACGATGACCTGGAACACATGAATTATAAGAATCATGTAGCTAAGTACGGAGACGCAGCGCAGCGGGGCCCGGCGTGGTATTCCATGGACTCACAAGAGTACAAGTCATCAAAGGTTGAAGACAGTGGTTCCGAGACCAGGTAATTGTAATTAATAGAATCAGACTTTACTTTGCGGAAATCCATTATACTAAAGATGTTCAAAATTAATTAGCTGAGATCCGCGTAATAAAATACAATGATGGGTTTAAACTAGTTTAAAGAGCACCTCCCGCCCTCCCTCAATTGCGTGCACTAACGCTGTCACCACTAATCCCATCACCACTACTACTTATATATATATAAGAGCCGTGGTAGCTCAGAAGAAATTGTTAACTGCAATTTTAAGTGCTGATTTACCATGTGCTCGGCGGTGAAGGAAAACATCGTGAGGAAACCTGCATGTCTGAGAAATAGAAATAAAAATATTTCGAAGACATGTGAAGTTCGCCAACACGCATTGGGGCAGCGCAGCGGACACTTCCTTGCCCTAAAACCCTCTCAGAAATGAGAGGAGGCCTGTGCCCAGCAGTGGGACGTATATAGGCTGTAACTTTACTTTTACTTTTTATATATAGCGCAGAAATTACATGATTTGATTCCTTCCTCCCCTTTTCATCATTGCACTACTTACCCCCCTGCACTGTCAGCGGGTATATACTTCTTTTTTAGCGATGTTCTACGCATTCCAACAAAATCGTTTGCTTGGTACATAGAAGAGGGCAAGAGAGAATATCATTTTTTTCGCTAAGACAATCTACAATTTAATGCTTCATCATCGCTGACCGCCGAATGAAATTGTAGTCGAGCATTACTTTTAATAAGTAATTACAAGAAAATATTATAAATTTATGTCTAATGTTGGTATTCAAAGGTTGTCTGACCATGTAGAACTACGAGTGCTTTCCTATAGGTCTAATATGTTTGCTATAAATATATCTCAAAATAGTCGTCGAAATTTCGTACTATGGTCAATTTGTGCTTTATTATTAAATATTTATTTAAGATCTAACACTCAACAATGTTTTAGCGTATATTCCTCAGATTCATTATCAGATGATTCATCCGAAGCCTCTTCGAAAGAAACTTCAGAAAAAAAGAAAGCGTAAGTGTGATTTTTTTATTTTTTTTTATTTCCTCCAATAACATACAATATCTCAAACAACAGATAGGTGAAAAACTGGTGCCTATACCGGGTAAAACCTTTATCTTACGGTCATCCGGTCTCCATAAATATATGTCCGTATATCTACAAGGTAGATAGATGTTAGTATAAAAGATTTCCTTCGTAATAAAAAAATAAAACAGAATAGAATAGGATAGAAGAATTTTTATTCGACATAGATATCAATAAATAACACACAAATACTTATAAATATATATAATATAAGATTCTTAATACTGATTCAACTAAAACAGAAATCACTATAATTATGTATTAATAAAGATTGCTGACCGACATATCCCAACGGATTAGTAAGCTGAATTGGCAATGAACCGGCCATATAGCTCGAAGAACCGACAACCGATGGGGAAAAAAGGTTATCCAGTGGCAGCCTGGTACCGGTAGGCGTAGTGTAGGGCAACTCCCCACTAGATGGAGTGATGACCAGGTAATACATGCAGGTAGTTGATGGATGCAGGTGATTCAGGACCGTGCTTTGTGGCATTCCCTGGGGGAGGCCTATGTTCAGCAGTGGACTTGTGAAGGGCTGTAATTATGAAGTGATGTGATGAAATATGTGAGTGGCGGCGCAAAAGAACTCATTCCCCCATTTTGTCCTATGGGTGTTAAAAAAGAGACTATGGGAAATATGTGAGAGTTATTATGGCATCCACTAGGTTGAACCTTAAACTGTCGAAAACATTTCGTTTTCGAGAGTTTTGGGCTATTATTTTGTATTATTTTATGTTGCTAATATATTATATTTGGGCTATATAACTACCGCCGTACGTGGCTCTGCAAGTATACTCAAAGACTAACCCATTTCACAAAAATTGATATTAAATTTTTGCACCACAGTTTCTCCCTTTCCTTTTGATATTTGACACTTCTACTTGCATATGTTCTATGTTAGTGCTAGTTTATGTAAAGCCTTTAAGTCTAACTTTGCTCCCTTAGTACACGTGTTTATCGTACGTGCACTCCGTGTCCTCACGATATGCTGAAGAAATACACTAATAAGGGCATCAAATGGATCTGTGCGGGCTATCAGCGAGCACGGAGAACGTTTAAAAGCGAGTGCATGATGCGCTTCAGGAACTGCCAGGACGGCACAAGTAAGTACTGATATTTTGAGTTGTAGAACTAATGGGTTGGATAGATTGGGGAAGGACCAAGATCTTACACAACACCAGCGTAAAATAGCAGCGTACTACCGCTGTGTTTCGTACCTCTTTTAATGGAAACGAGACATTCCGTCTTAGTCCTCAGGAATAACAACGCAGCTGCAGTATGATTTTTAGTCGTAGATTAATGTTACTGTATGGACTACTGTATCCACTTACAATCAGGTGGACTATATACTCGTTTGTCAACCTCATTCTATAAAAAAATTGACATTTTCTTTCCACGCGATCGAAGCCGAAATCAAAGCTACTAATATTATTACGAATTATTAATAATTGAAAACCTTTTTATCTTACAGTGTTCATAAAGATGTACGACCATCGGTGCAAGGACGATGAGTATCACGGACGTCATTGGTTCTACGTTTACAAGGTTTAATTCCGGTTACTAAAACAGAGGGTTAGAAATACTGTGCTTAATCATTTATTTGTATTTAAGTTTATATACGAGTATGTTACAGTCAAATCTCATAACCAGTCAAAACCACTTTTGAGTGCGAAATCGGTTCAGATAAAAGTTGTTTTGAATAAGGACGTAGGTCATTACCACTGTTTACAGAAAAATATTGGGTAATAGTGATTTTGAGCAAGAATGTTAGTCAGAATTAATTTTAATGGAAGATGTTTGCACTGGACTTTACTGGAATTGAAATATGTTTTTTTTATATACTCTGATACTTACTCGTATGATTAGACTTAATAAAACATATGCGTCTAATAAAACATTACACCAATCTTGCAATATCGGTGACAGTAGTTTAAAGTGCGGTTAAAACCGTGTATATTATAATATAGAAATAGAAATAGAAACTTTTTTATTCAATGTACATTATAAAAATACTTATTGAAAGTCACTTTTTTAATTTACCACTGGTTCGCAAAAAAACCTCTTCCAAAACCAAAAAACCCAGCGGGACTATTTTTTAATAATAGCTTACAATCATTTACAATCAACAACACAAACAAATTAGAAATAGCTTGGTAGTGTCACCAATAATCTAGACCAGATATAATCGTAGACCATAAATAAATTAAAATATAATAAGGCAAGAATTGAACTAGAACATTGGTCAAAAGCATTTTTGCCTGATTTCGCAGCCAACAGTGGTTATGAGCAGTTTGAGTTTTGAATGTAACATATGCAAAGGAAAATAAACTATTGCTGTGTTAATTATTTCTATATTTACACAAATACTTTGAATGAAACTAATTTTACGGACTTTATCACGTTTCTTATCGTTCTATCTATCTCCTAGTGACCACGGGTGCTGTAAAACACCGGAACGTCGGGAATTCAAAATATATTAAATTGCGATAAAATTCGTTATATTAGTTTTATTCGATATTTCTGTGATGTTAATAAATTGATTAGTTGAAGAAACGCCTTTTATTTCATCCTCCTCTGTCTTAGGAAGCTTAGATATGAGTCTCTCTTACCGTGCGACCAAATCGTCAGAGCGGATTGACGCTTGCAGTTACAGACGTTTTTTTTAGTACAGGGGGCAAACGAGCATGCGGCTCACCTGATGTTAAGTGACTACCGCCGCCCATGATCAACCGCAACACCAGTGGAATTGCAGGTGCATTGCCGGCCCTTTAGAAAGGAGTAAGATCTTTTCTTGAATTTCCCCAGGTCGTATCGGTCCGAAAAAATCGCCGGTAAACTATTTCACAGAGAAGTCGTACGCGGAAGAAAACTCCTTGTGAAACGTACAGTGGTAGACCGCCAAGCATCCAGATGGTGTGGATGATTCGGGACGTTTGTCACGTAGTGCGTTCACGAAATTTGGCGGCTGGGATTAATCCGAACAATTCCTCAGAGCACTCCCCATGGTATATGCAAAAGAAAATGCAAAGAGATGCAACATCTCTTCGTAGCGTCAGTGAATCGAGCCGATCGGAAAGCACTTGGTCGTCGACGATTCGAGCCGCTCTGCGCTGGATGCGGTCAAGTGGAAGGTACTGGGGAGCTCCATCCCAGAGATGGGAACAGTATTCCACGAGCGGGCGAACCTGCGCCTCGTAAAGTTGCAGGCGGTGTGCCAGCATGAAATACTGCCCCGCTCTGCTGAGCACGCCAAGCTTTTTAGAGGCCAAATTGGCCTTCTCTTCCAAGTGACCACGAAACTGCACGTCACTCGATATGTCGACGCCGAGGTTTCTGATACTGGCTGAGGCAACAAGGGGAGTGCCTTAAAACTGAGGAGATACGACAAAGGGGTTCTTTTTAGGGGTTAACGCGCAAACTTGTGTCTTCTGAGGGTTAAACTGGACTAGATTTAGTCGCCCCCAATCCGAGACTTTGTTCAGCAAAAACTCGACTTCAGACACAAGTTTGTCCCGGTAAAACCACTCCCTCGATGTTTAAGATATTATGTCTAGCATATAGAAAATGGTTATACCACCGTCAATATACTACCATCAATCTACCATTACCACTTTCACTATTGTTCATCAAGTATGCTTTTCAGAGTTACGGCATTTCCAGAGGAGGCCTAAGTTCAACGGTGGACTTGTGAAAGGCTGTGTTGATGATGATGTAATAAGATGTAGCTATTTATTAGGTATTGGCAGTGTCAACTACCCAGCTATAATAAACTAGAACTATCTAGAAGTAATAAGTCCGTACGCACTTATAACTCTCTTTTATCTTCCTTATTTTAGACAAGAGACTCGCTCTGGTTTAGCCTGAGTGGGATCTATTATCGTTGCGTTATTTGCATTTAAGATAAAGATAAAGATACATTGGGTGCGTTTGGCAGAAAAAAGCGCTAGCAAGCGCTTACAAGCGCTGAAATAGTTTTCGGCCAGGACACGATAGCTACTTCAGTAGCGCTCACAGAATCCGCCATTTTGCTTATTTAATTTGTTTGTTTTGAAGTACAGTTTATAAGTTTTTTTTTTGTGGAATATTAGTTTTAAGTAATATAATAACATGTATAGACATATAGATGTTATTAAAAATTCATGATTGGTAAGTTTTTAATATGAATACTTTACAAACATATATTTAAATTAGGTTAGGTTCCCCGGTTAAAACTGACTTCGTGTCCTAGAGGAAAATAGCTACTTACAATTTGACAGCGCTTAACGCTTACGATCGCCATTTTGCTTAGAAGCGCTTGCTAGCGCTTTTTTCTGCCAAACGCACCCAATCATTGCATAACTGTGTACAATAAGATCTTAATACATAAACATATAGTTTTAGGCTCAACAGTCTACCCATGTCGGATATGCAACAAGAAAGAATATAAATTGAAAATTTACTACTTACTAACATTAAATTTACTAAAAAAACTCATTGACATTTTAAAAACATATGCAATTAACAATTTCTTTAATTTTGTTTTGAACATATTTCCATTTGATTGTTTAATAGCGGGGTCGTACTTTTATAGCAAATCATATTTTTAATAATGGGTAAGTTTATATTATATTTATATTGTTTGGTAATCAAAGACCTACTATTTTGTCAGATTTCCGTTGTCTTTTTTATCAAAAAAGGACTTTTTTGTAAAAAGTAAAGTTATAGATGACTCCTAGTACTGCTATGTATCTATTCATTAAGTTTCATTGCAATTGGTTTAAACATTTCGAAGATATACCCAGAAAGACGGACAAACAAAGGGACAAAAATAAATATTAAAATGGCTATTCATGTCCACAAATCACCCCGTAAGCTCAATATAAGGCAGTTACTTCGATATTACAGACAGATACATCAATTTTGTTTATATGTGTTTATGTAGATAATAACGCAGTACATAAAATTAAATTACGACAAAACGTAACGAGTTGGAAGTGATACAATAAATAAAACATGTCTTGTTCAAATCGGGAGACGATCAATTTCCAATGCGGGATCCACGGGGAATACTAAAACGTTATTAGGAAAACACATTAGCGCGGAATATTGAGTGTTTGTAATATTCAATTATTTAAAGTGTTACAGTTAGTAAGCACACGTGGAAGGTAATTGCTATAATTTTGTATTTTACGGCTCACTTTTTATATTACGTGACTAACGAGCACACAGTCCACCTGATGGTAAGTGGACGCTGAGGCTTATAGATACCTACATCAATCCTCGATTAAGAATCAAAATACAGAAGTGTCGTCATCCCTGAAGACTAAGATGGAATGCATCGTTTCCAGTAAAAAGTCACTCACCATACGAAACACATAAGCATTGAGTTTTTACGCTGGTATTACTACTCAAGGTATAAAATGGATTACCAAGCGCTGTCAACACAATTTTTAAATTGGAACGACTAGTTGATAGATATCATTATATATTATATCCTACAAACCGAATTTCGGTCACGGTTGTTATTGTCAACGAAAAATAGCTATCTGCGCAGGACAGGAAGACAAGAGTGCACTCTCTATTCCTTCAATCTCATAGTCCGATGGAACGGTCATCCGACACAACCGAAAAGAGATCAGTAAGACCAACGGCTTTACGTGTTTTCGGAGGCACGCGTTGTAACACTGCATACTTTCTGACTCCAGGCAGCTGCTGGAAATTTCTTTGTAGAATACTCAATAAATAATTTTGGCCCGATCCGGGATTCGACCCCAGGATCTCATGATCGGCAATAACGTTAACGACTACTAAACTAATGTTATGTAATGTGTATGTAATGTGCATTGTTTATTAAAATCTGCGGAATACTAGTTTGAAATAAAAAATAGAAACGGAATATAAAGTAATAAATATATGTACAAAAATTAAATCGAAAATGTTGCAAGTTAAATCAGAAATGTATTTTAGCGCAGATTAAATGTAAAGAATGAAACCTGAAAGCCAGGTATCGGAATTTACACGAACACGTTATTGGAAAAAGGCGAAATAAAGAACGGCTACGTAACACTGGGAGCGTTTCGTAAATTCATAAAATTGAAATACCGATAAATGCATACGCTAACTGGATTTACGATTTCCGTACAGAAATATCTGAAGTTAAACAAAATGAAATGATTGGTTCTGTGGAAGAGTTCAGCCATGGTGCAGTTGTTAACGGCGCAGATAATCATTTTCATTGCTTTTGGTAAGTTTGCTTTAAAACAATTATTAATTTTTATTGAATAACCGACTGACTGCAATTTTTTTAAAGTTGAATTATTGTTCACCATGTAGTACTGGTCTAGAATATCCCCTGCCCCATATCATACAGGCAACCTAGAGCAACTAACCAGGAGGTGGGCAGCAGCGTCTTCCTAATAACAACCACACAAAATAAAAACTGCTGCAACCAGCCCGCCTCCCACGCGTGGCAACTGTGGCAAATATCCCGCCTATGAGCCAATCTATGATGAAGCCCATGTGCAGCCAAGACTTGTATGTTGGCATCACATCAAATATTAAGGTCTTTGAATTTTATTCTTTTTTTAATAGAATTGATATTATTTCAAACAAACACGCCATAAACAGATTTCCTTGTATAGAAATTAAAATAGTCTTGTTGTTTTAATTTTTCTCATTTTTGTTTACAAAATGTTGAATGTTGAATAAATTACCATAAATAACAATGTATAGAAATATCCATTACTAAAATCTTAACGCTTTTTTACAGTAGATGTAGTCACTTCACTTGTAGAAGACAAAGGAAACAAAACAACGCACGATGTCAATAGTCATGTAACTGAATTTGAAACCAGACGGAAATCGAAGACGGAAATCAAGAAATCGAGAACGAAAACCAAGAAATCGAGATCCACATCATCGTCTTCTGGAGAAAAAGAAAGTGAGTGTAGTAATTAAGTAAAAATTATTAGCGACAGGAGCATAATAGTTAAAAGCGCGGTCTGCATACTCAATTCCAGCAATTTTAGCTTACTTGGAGCGTAATTTTTTTTACATAATAGCAGCTTATCACCGATATGTTTCGTATGTACGTAAGTGTAGAGATCCGAATACTGTTTCTACTGGAAACCATGCATCTCAGTTTCTTAATCGAAGACCGATGCAGATATCCACGGGCCATAGCATCTACTTACCACAAGGTGCACTGAGTGTGTGCTCGTTTGTCGCCCTTATATTATAAAATAAAATAAGAATAATATATCGTCGAAAATTTGTAATAATATATTATTGTGTATGATTTTTAGATAGCTCCGGAGAAAAGTCATATCATAGTCTGGGATTATCGTCATCTGACGAAATTGCGGATTCGGCAGGGGCTAAGAAAAAGCGTTATAGACCGCAGTCCACTGAAGAGCGTACGGGCTGGTAAAACTTTTCCTTATTTAAGATTGTCATAATACTTATATCAAAGATTTTATCTTAACCATATTAGAATGTCAATCCTGAAATATAGTCAGCAAATTCAAGTAAGTGCTTAACGACTACCGCATCTTTATTTATTTATTAGCGAACGAAACAACGCTGCACATCCTTTATGAATGCGAAACCCATAATATGCAAACGTTCCCATCCGTTCGCATCCCTTTAGGGACCTATTTAATAAGCGGAAAAGAAGTGAAAGAAATCACAGTTTAGCAGGCAAAGCTTTTTTTGTCCACTTTTTTATAGTGTATAATGTATACATATATACTATACACAATCTTCTTATGGGTTTAGTCCTGTCCCAACTCCCCCAAGAAAAAGGCATCTCTCATTATTCATTCTGAAAGTATATTTAGTCTTCGAGTATTGACACTAGTTAGTTATTAATTTAGTTATTTATATTTTATTTATAATTGTTATATTAGTTATTTCAGATTTGCATTTGTTTATTGATATATTATGTATTTAATTATTGTATACAGGATGTTAGTGTAAACACCGTTATCCTTGAAACTAGTGGTTTGGTTTCACTTATAGAACGGTAAATTCAATGAAAAATAACAACAATTTTTTTGGTAAAATCTCAATTTTTCCTTAATTCCTTTATTTTTACCTGTCCTAAGCCAGGATGAAAGTATGAAGGAAAGTTACATCACAGGTTATGTGTACCTATTGTGTTTTATTGGAATGCAGTGTAAGTAGCTAGCGCGGGCGGTGATCTTTACAGTGATTACGTCACTAGAGCGCATAGTGTATCCATGAATTTACGGACGGTGTCGGACAGAACCTTTTTAAATTTTATGAAATAAAATAGCGTTTTTTTAATTCATTGAATTTACGTTCTATAAGTGAAACCAAACCACTGGTTTCAAGGACAAGGGTGTTTACAATAACACCCTGTATATTATTATTATTCATCGCATTACTTATTATAATATATGATCAAACGAACTTCTCCAAGTGAAGTTCGATCAGTGTTATATGAATCGCTTCATTCGAAGATATAATATTAACAACGTAGTTCCCTTATTCTACAAGGCTAAGTCGCACCTTTAAAGATTTTTACTCTACCCACATCAAAACAATTGCCCCCCTTCCCACTAACGTCTCTCGCCGTCCGAGCGTACTGCCTCATTCTTTTAGAGATATTATTTTAGGCAAAACTTTTTTGTGGGTTATGGGTGGGGGGAAATTATATCTTCGAATGAAGCGATTCATATAATACTGATCGAACTTCACTTGGAGAAGTTCGTTTGATCATATATTATATTTCATCGCTTCATTCTTCAGATATAATATTAACAACGTAGATGTTTAGAGATTAAAGTTTTGCTTATTGGGTTACTTATGTGTACTTTGAACTTTAAGAGAAAAATCATAAAAAATATCATTTATTAGTTCGATTGTAACAAAATAACGTATATATATTGTAATAAAATTATTCACTTGTCTGTCTTATTTAATAAATCAAATTTAATTATTTATGAGGACAGTTCTCGCAAACTTATTTTCGTCAATAATTATGCGATGATAAAATTTTGCAAAGGTCTCTGATACTGACGACCAACCGGCTGTTTTTTTTTTTTGATCTTATCTAGAGAGATTCCGGCGGACCTAGCAGCCGAGGTGACAGCATGGCGGGTGCTGTGTGCACTAAACACAGTCACGTCCACGCCGCTCTCCTCTAATACTTTCTTAATCCACCTGCTGATAGATTGAACAGTGGCTGCCTTGTGTGGCCGCCCGTAGGTTAGCAATAAGTACCGACAATCTGCGAGTCTGATTTTATTTGTAATCTCTAAATAATCTTTTATTTCCGTGGCTGGACAAATATTTTTAATTTTAATAAAATAAGGCAAAATTAGAAGGGCTAGCTGATGTCCCGCTGCAGATGTTTTAATTATATCAGTGATGCTGATTCTAACATCTATCTGAACGTATCTTAATATTGTCTATCTTTATTAAAGATAATGTTTGAGCTCAGTGTGTTGTGCATAATTCCATTAATACTGCAAATTTTTTGTGAGTTTTTCAATTGAAAGTGTTTCATTGGGAACCCAATCTCGAATATGATTTAATATAATTTTTTGGATTCCAAGTAACAGTATATTTTGAAAGGGCTGGTCTTAACTTGAATGCGCCCTTTAAGAAATTTTTTATTTGGTATTTAGACCTAAGCAGTCTCATAGAATTAATGATAAGGTGACCTGTGATTATTGAGCGAACATTGACGGTATAGAATTTGCTTAAGGATCTAAATTATTTTTATGACAAAATTGCCACCACAGCTTATACGAGATGATATACTGAAGTATTGTATTCTTCGAAAGCGATGCCATCATCACGTGAAGAGTGGGTGATGGAGTACCTCTTCTTACTACTGAGAGCCTCGCTGCACCGAGAGTAAGTTGCTTGTGCAGGTGATGAGGAGTTCTGGAAGAAGACCGTAAGAGAGCTCTCTGAGGTTTGAAAAACATTATATCTGATCTGAGTACCTAAGTAATTTAAAATTGGGTACCAAGGTTGGGATGGCCAATAAAGAAAGACCAAAATGCCTTCGGCTTTATCGCTTATGATTTTTTTTCCAGACATTTGATTGGATTTAAGTATTTAAAGAAAAAGGTGGAAACGCATAGAAATATTTGTATCTCCAATCAATAGTGAAAGCATCTACTAAGGCGTCTAGATCCGGTCTCCAAGATACATAGGTCATGCATTTAACATTGGCACGAGAAGCAAAAAGATCCATATCTGGTTCTCCCAATTTTTGTATGATCTCTTTATAAGCGTTATCACTTAGCTCCCATCCTGTATCTAGGTTTAGTCTCCTTGATTCTTGGTCTGCTTCTACATTTTCTTTACTATTTATTTAAGATGCGTGTGGCCAAATGTTTCGCTTCTCGCACCATTACCATATTGATTGAGATAACTCGTTCAAATGAGGGAATTGGATTCCTCCCATTCGATTGATATAACTTATAGCTATTGTATTATCTACGCGCAAAATATTACAATCCGACATATACCTAAGAAAACATTTAATACCTAGAAATATGGCTAGTAATTCTAGGAAACTGATAATATAATAGTCGAGTTCATTGTATGTCCATCCTCCGCCAACACGAATATTATTACAAAAAGCACCCCAACCTGTCAAGCACGCGTCTGTAAATATCTCATAATTAAATTTAGTTATACTAAACGAATTTTTGGTTAAAAATACATATCTTTTTTCACTATTGTAAATCTGGTAAGATATGTTTTGAAAGTTGAATATTTTTATTATACGTCTTATATTTTTGAAGCGCAATATTTTACCGCAGGACAAGCGGCCGTGAAAACACCTGTTAAATGAGCTAAATCTTTGATCGAACAACTAGTTAAGAAAGAGAACCTTTGTACTTATTGAGCTATATGATTTTGTTTATCTATGAGTAGACTTATAGAAAGTTCCGTGGTATCAAAAATAATCCGGGTGTCACCAATTTAATTCTGGTTTTGGGTCTCAGAGTGATGGAGGTTGGATAATGTATGGCAAGCATCAGATAAAATTTTTATCGCTTGAACTTTATTGTTTCCGATGAGAAGTAAAGACATAGCTCTATTAACGGTAGTAATACCTAAGCTTAGTCTTTGTTGATCGATCTCTATTTTCTTGTCTCTATTTCGGGCTGCATCGGTAAGTGCCGCTGCAATCTCGGGATTTAGCGTAGGTGCTCTCAAAAGCTTGCAATTTTCGGGAATTAAGTACTCTTTTAACAAGTTTTGGCTTGTTTCCTTAGTAAGACCCTTACGCAGAAGAGGAAGCCAACGGTGGGCAAGATCCTGGTGGACATTTTCACCGTATATTTGCTCATCACTATCCGTATCACCCAAAGCTGACAATAGTTCAGGGTCTAATGTAGGAATTGTTTGCTCCTCGGAGAGAATGGATGTTACCATGGTGTCATCATTTACGACCTTATTACTGTCCTTAGTTTCGTTATTTGCAACACGAAATAAAGTGTATATTTAGGAGGTATATAACAAAAAATTGTGATAAAATTAACACAACTTTAAACTTAAAACTGATGCTTTAACATATTTGTACGTGAGTATTTAAGTTTAAATAACCTTCGTGCTAACTCTCGGCTAGCCCCCGGTTAGGATACCTTCGTATTGACTCTCGGCCAGTCCCCAGGTAAATTTGTATTCGTGTTGATTCACGATCAACGCTAGGGTTTTTAGTCTTAACGTATATTTTTAATGATCACTCAGGCACTAGAATCGAATTACTTAACGGTAACACTTACCAAAATTTTCTTCGGCCTCAAAAGAATCGGAGTAAACAATGACTAGTTTATGTTGCTTTCGTTCTTGTTCTTCCAGTTTTTTGATTTTCTTTTGATAATAACCAATTTTGTCTGCAGTACTGCGTGTCAATATTTTACTTTTCTAAGATAATTAAATAAGGTGTGCACTCTGCCTCGCACGAAAAAGGAATGAGGCAGTACGCTCGGACGGCGAGAGACGTTAGTGGGAAGGGGGCAATTGTTTTGATGTGGGTAGAGTAAAAATCTTTAAAGGTGCGACTTAGCCTTGTAGAATAAGGGAACTACGTTGTTAATATTATATCTGAAGAATGAAGCGATGAAATATAATCTTAATATATAACGTGTGACGTTGTTTGTCCGCGATGGACTCCTAAACTACTTAACCGATTTTAATCAAATTTTCACACCGTGTGTACTTTGGTCATATTTAAAAGATAGGATAGTTTTTTTGCTCATGAGTGACCCACAATTTTTTTTGCGAATTTAAGGATTTTTAATAGGACATCACAAAGGGTCGTCGAAAAGGGCAGAACAACGTCTGCCTTGCAAGCTATAACCTATACATTTAAACGAGCAATTCTTGTATATATATATATATATATATATATATTAAAATACTTTCGATATATATATATATATATATATATATATATATATATATAATCGGAATCTCGGAAACGACTCCAACGATTTTCATAAAATTTTGTGTGCAGGGAGTTTCGAGGACAATAAATCGATCTAGCTAGGATTTATTTTTAGAAAACTTAGACTTTTCGTCCGTGTTTTTAGGCAATGAAAAACTGCTACAATATCGTTAGAATAAGAGGGCAAATTTTGACAGTTTATTAATGATTACAAATAGCTTAATTGGTATATTGGGCGGTCACAAAATCGTAATACCATGGTTTGAGCCCAGACCGACCAACCGACTTTTTTTAATTTTTTTTTCAAGATCCTTTTTCGAGGCCTTTTTTTAGTATTTTTTAAAAACACGTAAATTTAAATTAAACTAATTGCACTCATGATTTTTTATTCAAATAACCAGTTCAGTTTTTTCTATTATGTCGCTAAAATCAAAAAATATTATTCGTATTTCATCAGTATGTAATTTGTATCTAAATATAATTTCCAAAACACACGAATTAAAAAAAAACCGAGCGAAAAATACCGAGCAAAGCTCGGTCAACCGGGTACTATTATATAATGTAATGTTTTTGTATTATTCTGTTCTGTATTGTTTTAATTATTCATTTATAAGACATATATGAAGTTTCCTTTTATAATATATTTTCCTGTATACTGCTGAAAGATATTTTAAAATAATTGATAGAATCAGGCGTTACTTTGCGGAAATCCATTACAATAAAAATATTAATTACCTTGCAACCTTCCGCTAACTAAAAAAACTTAAAAACTTTACTTTAAAAAATAAGTAGAATCTTTGTATGCTTGATGAACTCACTGTATGATTGTATCTGTGTCTTGTTGTGTATATATAAATAAAAAAAGAATAGTTAAAAATATATTTGAGTAGCGTACAATACGTGGATCCTGAAGAAATATTTTAAAGTATAAATCTATTCAAATCAATTGAAGATGTAAACAAATAATTAACTAAGATTTTATCTAGGATTAGTGGTGACGTTGTTAGTGAGGAAGGGCGTCAGGTGCTCTTGCTAGGCAAGACACAACGTTTTATTTTATTACGCGGAGCACAGCTAATAAATTTTTGAAATATTTAATGTTATGGATGGTAATGGATTCCCCCAAAGTAACTCTTGATTTCATTAATTATCTATTAAAATAATCGCAATACACACAGGAGAAAATGGCATCGCAAATGTCCACGCTGTCCCGAAGATATGGCGAAGAAATGGCGCGACCCCAGCATGAAGTGGATCTGCGGTGCCTACCAACGAGCTCGACGCACGTTCAAGAGCAAATGTATGATGATATACAGAAACTGCCAAGACGGGACAAGTAAATTATTATGAATTGTCCTTACAATAACACCATTAGTAGAGCCATGCTGCTGTTATATTAAGGTTGAAGCACAAATGGGTCGCCTCGACCGGGAGGGGGACCGCGCCTTCACAGAATATTAGTGTAAAATAGTAGCTCAATGCTGCTGTGTTTCCTATGGTGAGTGTAGAGAACCGGAGACCCTTTTTACTAGAAACGTGGCATTCCATCTTAGTCCTCAGGTGTAGAAGAGTGTCAAGTGTCTTACTAACCGATATCTTCCGAATAAAGTCAACAATCAATACTTCCTGGAAGATTTCATCATCATCATCATCACAGCCAATAGTCCACTGTTGAACATAGGCCTCCTGCTAGAAACACCAAAAAGCGCGGTCCAGAGCCACCTGCCTCTGCCAATTTCTTATATGTCTTACCAGGTCGTCACTCCATCTGGTAAGGGCCGCCCTATACTTCGCTATTTGCTCACTGCCTAGAAGACTTTCGTACACAAATTAGCAGTTTACCTTTGTACTGGAGTTCATTCGTTATTACAGTCTATCAAAGTCTACTGCTGAATACAGGCCTTCAAAGATAAAGTGCCACAGTTGCCACGCTTGGCAGGCGTGTCGCCAACTGCAGTCTTTATATTCTTGTTGTTATTAGGAAGACGCTGCCGTCCAGGTCCTGGTTTGTTTTCCTATGTCTCCTCATGGGACACCCACGGGACGATGTGGGGTAGTGGATACACTAACACTACGACCACACGGTCAGGCTTCGTTTTGAAATCGTTACTCCTTTATACGGATAAATTCAACTATGCGGAGGGATATTGCGCCTTCAATAGATACTAGTTAGGAAATTTATTTTGCAATACACAACGAATACAAAACATTGCAAATAAGTTAGAATAATACACGATTGGCATAAACATTTTATACAGAAAAAAGATATTGTGTTTGCGACGGGATAGTATATGCCTTGATTTAACTGTAGTCTTTACCAGGCAATTCTGTATCGCGAAGACTAGAAGATCATTAGAGCTCTATCAATGAGCGGAATAACTGACAAGCGTGACATCTATAGCAAATTATGTAAACTAATGATTTCTTATATCTACGCGCACACTACACATTGAATAAAACTATTTTGACGGACTTTATAGAGTTTAATTTTACTTATTTTTGATTGGAAAACTAAAATTACTTGAAAGTACGCGAAACATTTGGATCTAAAAACAGGTAAAATTAACGGCGATAAAATCCATAAACATATTTTTATTTAACCTAAATAAAAAATAACCCCCCCCCCCCAGTCAGGCAACCTGCCGAGGGCCTGCGTTCAGCGGTTGATTTATGATAGGCTTTAACCTTCGATCAACAATACTAACTAGATGTCGGGTCGGCGCAAGAAATTCATCTCAGTAAATAAGAGCGCACATGAGACGTGAGCTCTTGCACGTGAGAGTGTAGCTCGCAAGGCAATAACGGGAAAAAGAACTTTATTTGTTATAACTTAAGGTTGATTACACACTAAATGTTATTTAATTTATGTTTTTTTTATAGTTTATATTCATGCGTACAGTATTTAGCTATGATTTTGTACGTGACCCGTTATCTAGTTGGTATTGTTGATCGAACGCTATAACGACTTATAAAACTAACTACGGATTTTATCGCATTTAATTTCAACTTTTTTAATTTCTGATGTTTCGGGCACTTTACTTCTCCCATTGTTAAGGGGGGACTAAGGTATTTAACGTCATTATGTTATAGCTAATAAAGGCTACCTTCAACTTTTAATTATTAATTTTTAGTTATGCAGAAAGAGCTTACATGGGCTTTAATGAATTAATAAACGAATACAAACTGTTTCAGTGTTTGTGGAGATACACCAAGGGCGATGTCAAAATGATAGCGAAAATGATCCGCAACCACATGGTGATCATTTCTTCTACGAGTACAGAGTCTTTTTGAGTGATGACTCTTCAGACCAATCCAAGAGTGCTTCGTCAGAGCAAGCAAGCGGTGCGGATACGGACTACTAAATATCTTTTTGCACAATTCTGCCTTGGTAAAGATTTCATTAAAATAAAAGAATAATAAAAGTGGTTTTGACTTTTATACAATATAAAACAATATTTCACACTAATAATATTAATATTCGTAAATAAAAGAATTAAAATGCGCTTATTAATTTTCACATAATTTAAAAACTTCCAGCAGCGTGTAGTGGTGTAGTAAGAAAATTCACTTCCCCCACCTGAAAGTCACTTTTTTGTTTATTTTACCCTACGAAGTAATTAAACAAAAGAGTGACTTTCAATAAATATTATTTATAATCTATATTTGATTAAAACTTTTCCGTTTCTGTTCCCATGTCATCCCGTGGGTATCGCAAGAGGCGCCTGAGGGAAACGCAGGAGACGGGCAGCAGCGTCTTCTTAATAACGACAAAAAATCTAACTTTACACGTGGGGTCCGCTCCACCGGGGAAGGACCACGCTCTCACTGATACCAGCGTAAAATAGCAGCTTATTGTTGTTGTGGTTTCGTATGATGATATAAAGAACCGGAGACCCTTTTTACTAGAAACGAGGCATTCCATCTCAGTCCTTAGGGGTGGCAGCGCATCTGCATCATCAATCATCTGCGTCATTCTTATATCAAGGATTGATGTAGATATCTATGGGCCACAGCATCCACTTACCATAAGGTGGACTGTGTGCTGGTTTGTCACCCTTATTCTATATAAAAAAACTGCGGCTTCCGTCTCGCTCGCACTGCGTGGCAACTATGACAAATAACCCCCCTATGGGCAATCTATGGCCGAGGCCTGAGTTCAGCAGTCGACTTTATATGCGCTGTAACGGTAACGGTAACATAATTGAATTGCTTCTGGAGTTGGAATTCCAATATTTTGATAGTGTAACTTAACACAAACTTAACAAGCTATCAAATTATATAATAATATAATTATATTATAGTGGGACAATCCTAAAGGTGTAGTTTATTTAATTAGGAAGAATCATAAAACTTGGTTCATAATTCACAAATATATTCCCTAACATACATTCACATATAAGCCTAATGGTTACAATAGTAAATAAATAACCTAACTGCGTAAATAGTTTACTGAAAAGTGTAGTTTATATAATATATAAAACTTATGCAACTTTAGTATTTGCAGTTCCATCGACACCCCATATTCATGTCAAAATCCTTTATCTCTTACGGATAAAAAATAGAAATATGCACATGCATACACTCGAAAAATATTTCTCTCCCTTTAAGGCAGTCGAGTAAAACATAATCAAATAAAGAACCACCTTCTTTTCAAGTCGGTTAAAAGAGCAGATTTTCAAATCAAAGGTTAGTTAAACGGTACACATCATATTCAATACGGCCTTTAATCTTCCCCAGCCATAAATCCACAGCTCGTCACAAGTCCATTAATCGTATGGAAGCGAGTCATTTGTCATAGACGAACAGACAGACAGACAGACAGACAGACGGATACAATACGACGTTAAGTGAGCATTGCTTGTTCCTCAGGAAACTATATTCCATTTCAGCGTTGTTACAAACGCGTAAGATTCACTTTACTTTGAATTCTCAAACTATTAGGTTAGTAAACTAGAAAATGAAGACAAATTTGTTATACTATCACTATCATCTTTAGGATGTTAAAATAAAGGATATTTTTGCTTAGCGGAGTTTGCGAGAGCGGGGCAAAGGAATAAATGCTTCAGTAAATACTCCCGTTGAAAGAGTTTAGAGCTTTAGAGACTCCGTCGCTATATCACTTTGTTTTCACATCGATGTGCCGTTTGTAACAATGTTTTGACACGTGGAATGGATAAAGATAATCTTGTTTCGTCGGGGAAACGTTCTACTTGGCATATGTCTTAGAGGTTTCGCGAGAGGCAGGCTTTTAAGTAATTAATATACGTAACGAGCAGAGTATTGTTTACTGCGCAGTTATGAATACAGATTAAAAATACACAGAATAAAGATATTAAATTGTCACTTTACATCACACTCTACATTAGTAAAATGACATGTAACGATTTGGTTAGGTAATAAAAATTATAATAATAATCTTTATTGGTCGAAATTACCATTCCGTACGACGAGAACCTAGCGAAAGCCGAAACAAATAAACGAACAAGTATTTGGATCTGGTTCACGAAGTGACCGATATGTGGGGTGGTCGTCGTATCTGCGAACGAGCTAATCCCGGTCAGCTTCTTGGCTCATCTGAAGCGACTGGACGCCGTGACCGCTGAGAGCTCAAATGCTGGAGACGGCGCTCCTCAATACCGCCCACATTTAATTACAATTTTATGTGCTGATTTACCACGTGCTCAGCGGTGAAGGGAAATATTGTGCAGAAACCTGCATGTATAGGAAATAAGAAAAATAATGTTTGCTCAGCGGTGAAGGGAAATATCGTGCAGAAACCTGCATGTATAGAAAATAAGAAAAATAATGTTTCGAAGACATGTGAAGTTCGTGAACACGCATCGGGGCAGCGCGGCGGAAACTTCCTTGTCCTAAATCCCTTTTAGAAATGAGGGGAGGCCTGAGCCCAGCAGTGGGATGTATATAAGCTGTAACTTTAACTTAACTTTTGAACACAGATAGCATATTATATAAACATACTAGTGAACCGCCTCGACTTCGCATGGGTGATTTCTGGATCCCGACAACAGCGTTACCTACCGGGTCCAATTTGTAAACCTAAACCATGCACGGACCTAATTAAAGGCACACAAAAAATCATCACAATCTTTCGAGCCTATTTCGAGTTTTAGCGAGACTAGTGGATAGCAATTGATTTTTATTTTTTACATAAAGAGATTATTGTCGTCTTAACTCCTGAGCCGAATGTCTGTCAGGAGGCAGTCCCCTCGCACTCTAGTGTCAAGTTAACTATGAAATTTAATTTAAACGACATGATTTTAATAAAATAAGGCATTTCTTTGAGAAAATCAACTATCTTAAAGAAATTTAAAATTAGTTAAGATCTGCGAAAAAATAAAAATGATGTGGCTTACCATGTTTGAAGAATCTTAAAATTATATAAAACACATATTTTTACACCTCTAAACTAGATAAGATGATTTTGCTTTTAACGTGGATCTTGGCTAATAATTATCATCTTTAATTAAAAAATTGTACAACAATATAAACAAATTATACATAAACAAATTATACTCCGCTATACTATTGTATACAACCCAACTATAATATTATACAGATACAGATATGAACATTAAATGCAATACCAATTACTTCGGGTAAATTTTTAAATAAAAAATAAATGTCTTGCCATTTTAGAATTTATTTCAAATTTCTCATAAAGTGTAGGGCCTAAAAAGTAACAATACAAACGTACTCGTAAACGTCTTGAAAAAGCGGTTAGCGCTCAATCTTTTCGCAGAAAGGTTCAAAGCAGTGGATATTGCGAAGAGATGTGGTGCGGATGCTGTTATGTTAATGTAGCGTTAGCGTGAGCGGGCGCGTTGTCCAAAGTAACTTAAATTCCAATGACTTCTTACTCCTGAGCTATTTTTTGTTTAAGACATTTTTTCCTCAAAAATAATACAATTCAATTATCATGAGAAATAACAAGTTGATCTTAGATACTAAATACATCAACTTTTGAAGAACGCCAGGTACTTGTATAATTTTCTTACAGCATTGTCGGTGACAAGAAAAGTAAGTTATTATCTAATACTTAACGTTTCTTGAAAGGAGTTCACACACAACAATTACACGTTGTTCATATCTGCAAGCAATTTATTATGTATGTAAATAGTGTTATTGAATTTCGAAATATTCAGTTTTTAGTATTTCCGTTAATTTAAACCATTTCCTTTTCCCATGAATCGTTTATGAACTTTTCGATTGTTTCACTATTGTGTCTATTTCGCGGACAGGTAACCTGTTCAGACAAAGTCAGTATTGAATCGGCAGCACTATTGAATTAAATAGCTACGGATTAATTAATTATAGAATTGTATGGAAAACTGTAAGCACATACAACGTTAAAATGTGATTACAGCCTGTGTAATGTAATAGTAATGTCCAGATCGAATATCGATCACAGCGGTATATCTCAACAGAGACTAGTTATCTGCACAGGACAAGATTAAAGTTCACGAGTGTTTGCGCAAACACAGCTGGCGCTATTTATTCCCTTACTTTCATAGTCTGATGGAATGTTAATCCGACATCACCCGAGAGAAATCAGACCCATACTATATTAACGTACGATAAAGCTTTTATTAGTAGTATCATAACTTTATGACACACAGCAAGTTAGAAGCCATAACTTGCTTGTTTATATTACAAAAATAGCGACTACACCTTCCTTGTTTACGCTTGCATCTTATTACGTATACTACTGACCAGTTCGTTTTAAATTTTACGAAAATTATAAAGAAATAAGTAATACTAAAGTCCACTATCATGTAACCTTTTAACGTAAATCCTGTGATATATTTAAGGTCAAAGCAAAAACTTTTTTTTAATTTAAGCTTGTTTGGTATGAACTTTTACAAATATACACAGATTTGCAAAAACAAGACCTTATCAGATTCTCAGAGAAGAAGTGGCTGAGTGAGTTCTTTTCTTTAAATTGAATTTTTTTAAGAGCTTTCTTGTGAACGTAGATACTAAAAAGCACCAACCCAGATGCATAAATACATTTTAATTTTTATAATGGCGAGTTACATTTTTTTACAACCGCACTGTAAACGTAGCCTAACTTCGAACGAAATACGAGTAATATGTACATTGTAATGCGTCCCTTAGAGAATTTTATACGCCTCCTTTGTAGAAGTCCAAGCTCTGAGGCGGAAAAATGAGGAAGTAATAACTTCTTGTGTGTGGTTATTTACGTTAATTAATTGCAGATTTTAATTCAAAAATACCTACTTGTTTGATCTCATTTAAATGACCTTTTGAATGAAGGAAGTGGATGCTGTGGCACATATATCTATCCTCAATTAAGAATCAAAATTCAGATGCGTTATCATTA